CCAATGTGGGACTCGATCCCAGGACCCCGGGATCACAACCTGAGCCAAAGCCAGATACTCAACCACTGAGCCACCCAAGTGCCCCTACTTGCTGAGATTTTAATAGGATGAAACTTGCATTTCTCTGAATATGTGTTATTTACGTTCAATTAAGTAATCATAACATTTCCTATGTGCGTGCCATTGTTGTAAAGACCATGTACATTAATTCATTTTTATCTTACCAATAGTGAGAGGTAAGTACCGTAACAAGTTCAGTGAGATTAAGTTCTTTGCTCAGAGCCAAGAATTGCAGCCCCTAGGTCCCATACTCTTCATTTGGCAAGGGACCTGTGATTTGCCTTCCATCTGCCCTTAATCCATGCCCTGTTCTGGCTTCATGTGGCTATTATGTGACTGTGGGCAGGTGTTTGGATCATAATTGATTACTACAAGAGCTAGCTGATTAGATTAAGTTTTGCTAATTTCTTTTTTTTTAAGATTTTATTTGGGCAGTCCGGGTGGCTCAGCGGTTTAGCGCCACCTTCAGCCCAGGGTGTGATCCTGGAGACCCAGGATCAAGTCCCACATCAGGCTCCCTGCATGGAGCCTGCTTCTCACGCTGCCTGTGTCTCTGCCTCTCTCTCTGTGTCTCTCATGAATAAATAAATAAATAAAATCTTAAAAAAAAAAAAGATTTTATTTATGGGACGCCTGGGTGGCTGCAGTTGAGCATCTATCTGCCTTTGGCTCTGGGCCTGGTCCCAGATTCCCAGGATCGAGTCCTGCATCGGACTCCTTGCATGGAGCCTGCTTCTCCTCCCTCTGCCTGTGTCTCTGCCTCTCTTTCTGTGTCTCTCATGAATGAATAAATAAAATATTTTTTTAAAAAAATACTAAAAAGTTATATTTTAAAAAAAGATTTTATTTATTTATTTATGAGACAGAAGCAGAGACGTAGGCAGAGGGAGAAGCAGGCTCCATGCAGGGAGCCTGATATGGGACTCGATCTTGGAACTCCAGGATCATGCCCTGAGCTGAAGGCAGACGCTCAACCCCTGAGCCACCCAGGCATCCCAAATTTTACTAATTTCATCTTGCAGCCCTTAGAAGTGACCATGCTGTTAGAGCTGTCCAGATTTATGAAATAGGTAGATCTGAGCAGTTGTATACAAATTGAGTAGAAAATGAAATTCAAACAAACCAGAATGCCTTTTAAATTCTAGGGTAAATCTTCAAAGCAGGTCATTCCCACCAATATTTTTTTAAGAAAATCTAGAAAGCGAGAAAGGACCTTAACCATTTGGTTCAAGTTGCTTGTTTTACAGATGATGAAACAGAGTCCAGGAGAGTTGCAGGGACTTAACCTTTATGAGTATTTTCTACCCCATTACTTCTGCTAAAAAGTGCCTAGAAGGAAGCTAAGGGTATGGCCGTGGATTTCAATTTCAGATTAAGTACAAATATGATTATCACTTGGTCAGTAAACTGGCTATCTAGCCAGAGCCTTTCTAAAATTAATATCGTGCTAACAGAATGTTTGTTTCTGGATATTTGCTTAAAGCTTACTTTCAGCAGTGGGGCCTCTATTTCACAATAGTGAGCCTTTATCTTTTGATTAAAAATTAACAGGAAAAATTATCTTTGGGTTTTCCATTGCAAGCTAAATTCTTAACATTGGAAGTTACCTTTATTTATCATAATATCGAGACGCATACTTGGCTTTGGAAGCAAGTATGTTAAGACAGGATGTGCAATGCCACAATCTGCAGTAGTCTGTATAGTGTGGGGAACCCTACGCTTTGGACCCTTAGAAAGGGCTCAGAATGGGCAACCTCAGACCTTCCTGCTGGTTTTGTCTGCCAGGAGCCACGTCCTCACGGATCTGCATCTTGTGTTTTAACAGTGTAATTAGGGTGGGCCCCAAGCTGGAACTAAGACTGCTGACCCTCCTGCCAGTGACATGGCCTAGCAGCTCTGTAATTTGTGGTTTGGACAGTTTGTTCTACAAATATCCCACTGGGCTTCTAAAAGAAAACTTCAGAACTATGGTAGTTAAGAATGAGGAGGAGCTTGAGATTTAGGGATTAAATTGTCTAAAATTGCATCTTTATAGAGGTCAGATCTCCCTTCCATCCCCACTCCCTACACACACGCGCGCGTGCAAGACAAACTCAGTTCATTTCTGTATGTGAGGCCATCTGGCCCTCAGAGCTTCATGTGCAGCCACTGTTGTTCAAGGCCAGATGGCAGGATGCTTCTCACAACTGTGCTTTACCAAGAATGAGTGTTGACAGATACGGGCCTCTGTGTGTTCATTCCGCAAACTAAGAAGCTACCAATGCTAGGCATTGTTGCTCTTGGTAGTGGGCACCACCCCGGGATATGTGTTGTCACTGAGTCATGGTGCCAGGTAGCACGGGTCACTGTCAGAGCTGGGGAAAGCGGCCCGGAGGAGGGAAGACTGGAGTCAGAGCTGGTGAGTTTCTGTGAAGTGACCATCTAGGCTGCCCTGGGGCTGGGTAATGGTCTCCTCTCGCGGGGTGGAGCTGCTAGCATGTCATGCCAGCATGTCAGCATGATCTTTCTGTCTCCTCAGTTGACAAACCTGCTGAAGTGGTACACTACGGAGTTCAAAGACCCTCTGCTGCAGGCTCCTCCGACGTGGTTTAAGTCCTTCCTGTTTTGCGAGCTTGTGTTCCAGCTGCCTTTCTTTCCCATGGCAACGTATGCCTTCTTAAGAGGTTGGTGACTGGTGGGGAAATCACATTTTTGCCTGAAGTTAGGACCCAGAAGTCTTTTGGGAAAGTGTCTCAGAGAAAGGGAGTGGTCTGTGTCGTTGGTGTGAGGGTGACCCCGGCTGGGGTGGGAATGGCCTGGAGAGATCTCGGGCAGGGACGTGGATGCCGCTCCAGCTGGAGCCTGCTCAGCTGGGCTGTACGGCTGCCTCAGTCAACTGGAAATCTCTCGTACACCCAAGGCTGCTTACAGATTGAACCTGTCGCTTTTTTGGGGGGGTTGGGCGGCGGCTATTTTTACTTATGCCCCTGCAGAATTTTTTTCTTATCATTGGCTTTTCTGATGTGGGTAGCACCACACTGGCTTTTAAGCAGTAGCATCAAGCTCACCCCTCAAGGGCATAACTTCTCATTTATTCTCACAGTGTTCCCCTGTGACTACTGCTTCTAGAAAGACGGTGGCCATGTTCCTGTCCGTGATCACTGAGCTCCTACAGCGTATTTCCCCTCGGAGTCCCCAACTCCATGTCTTGGCAGAATCTGTTGGTCTTCTCACCTGTAGATAATTACTTAGCAGATGCTGTCGGCACCCCCTCCCCACCCCACTAAATCGTCATGGCCATTTTACTGCCCTAGAGTTCTTCCTGCAGTAAATTCTGACCCCCGCCCTTGGTTCTCTGGCACTCAGTGTGCTAGAGCCCCAACCCTGTGCTCGGCAGTATTATAACACTTCCAGTTTTCCGTGTGTTTGCACTTAGAAGGGAGGTGGAAGCATTCAGCTGAAGGGAGCAGAGGTGGGGAATATTGTGGGCGCCCCTGGAGTCACGAACAGACCTAATGCTTCTCTCTTCCTCCCACTTTAGGAGGCTGCAGGTGGATCCGCACCCCTGCAATCATTTACTCCGTTCACACCATGACCACTCTAATTCCAATTCTCTCCACACTTCTATTTGAGGATTTCTCCAAAGCCAGTGGCTTCAAAGGACAAGGACCTAAGACTTTCCGTGAACGACTAACCCTCGTATCTGTCTATGCCCCCTACCTTCTCATCCCTCTTATGCTTCTGCTTTTCATGTTGCGGAGCCCCTACTACAAGTATGAGGAGAAAAGAAAGAAAAAGTGAAATAATGACTGGCCCAGCAAGAAGACGCCCAGAGGGCAGTTTCCTGTTGGACCCAGTATGAGGAAAACCTCTCAGAACCCATGTCTTCAGCAGCATTTGAAACACACCAGCAACACATAAGAGCAAGACTCTGGCAGGGGCCAGAGTCAAAACCTCCCTGAGGACCCAGGCATACACAGACCAGTCACCTGAGCACGGACACAGGGGTGTGGGCTAGGCTATCCAGAAGTGGTGCCAAATACCTCATCATGTGCCCAAGTTCCATTGTGAGCATGACCAGACCAGATACTGGATAAACTTCCAAGAAATGTGGCCTGCTTGGCATGTTCATGAGTCACTTGACCCATAAGGCACATGTGATTAAACCCTTGACTCCTGATTCTCTACAGCATATCCTTTATCAGTGAAATGAAGGGTGGCATGTTTCAGGCCATTTTTAAGTTTGATTTATGCCTCTTTTAATATTAAAAACTATCATGGGGTTGGTTGGTTTTATTTTGTTTTTTTTTTTTGCCTCCACCCTTGGTTGGGGAAAAGGTTCTGCAAGAGGTTCAAACTTGGTTTTACTCAAGGGTCAGGTTCGGCCTGACTTTCAGAAATGGGTTAAGCTGGAAAGTTTTGTTTCTGTCTCAAACAGGTCATCCCAGAAAAGATTTTTTTTTTTTTTAAATCTAATTCATCCTCTTTCCAAACCTTAGTCTTGTTTTTACAGACCACCTGACAGAAGTCCCTTCACTCTGAGGTCTGGTGTCTCAAACCTGATGTGGAAGTGCGCTTCCTATTGGATCACTTCACCCTTCCTTATACTTTGATCATCCTTCCTAGCTTGTTCACCAAGTGGCTTGGAACACCACTTCATTGGTGTTCCTTAGCTTTCTTTAAATTTATACTCACAGCCAACTCAAAAAATCAAACACTTGTGAACACACACGGAAAATAGTAACTGGTCCTGTTTGGTTGCCCTTTTTTGTCTGTTTTGCTCACAAGCCATACTGGTCTGATTGTTGGGAGTATCATCTGACTCATATGTCTGGTCCAAATAAAGGTACCTGCTGACCACTGCTTGGTTTGTTTTATGGACTATTAAGGGGCTAAAATGCAGGATTCTTTCAAGGTGTTAAATATACATTTCAAGGGCACCAGGAAAAGAGATAGATCAAGCCATTTGAAAACAATAATTTATTGCTCTTCCTTTCCAAAGCTATATGAATTTACAAAAAAAAAGAAAAAGAAAAAAGGATCAGAGTGTACAGACTGCTCAGTTCAGGCTAAGAATGCCAAGAAGTGAGAGCCTGGACCACCATGGCTACTAGGTGTTCACCAGCAAATGCACGTGGCGATCTGCAATAAGCTCCCCCATATTGGTTTACTGCCTTCAGAGATGCTGTGTTCCTTACACACCATCTCTTAGGACAAACGTGGGTCATTAGTCAAGTCACTGGAACGGCACAGAGGTTTTTTTGGGTTTTGTTTTTTTACCCTCCTGCTATAAAATGAAACTTTCAGTTCATTTCTGAAAAATAAATTGGTCAATAAATTCATTTTGTTCTGCTTCTACTTTACACAAAGCTTCATATTCAACCCGATACCTGAAAAACAAAATTGTGAGAAGCCCTAAGAATGGATGAAATCAACCACGGATTTAATTCTACAGAAAAATATAACTGATTTTGAACAATGTCAAGACATGGTGTGAGTTCACAGTGACGTTAGGATAAGAAAGAACAAAGGAAAAAAAAAAAAAAACAGAGGCAAAGCCCAACCTAGGGCCACCCGTAAGAAGTCTCCAGCCCTGCCCAAGAGGTTCTTTCCTTTCAGAGAACCAGCCAACTCCGCAGACAATTGCTATCTGAGCTTTCAAGCTCTCAAACTAGTAGAGGTGGTTTTTTACTAACAAATTTTCTATTCTCATTAAATGTAATTTTATTTTTTAAATCTTCAAATCAGGATGACAAATGAGATACTATTCTGGGAGGACGATGATGAAAGGTAAGAGGTGACCAATCACGAAGGAAAAGTAGAATTGCAATTGAGTAAAGAACTTGCCTTATACATCATAACTTCTTACCTTTCAAGCTGCATTTTCTTTTCTGCTATTAGTGCTTGGAGTTGCTGCTGTTGGGCTTCTCTTTGTTTTGCTATAGATTTGAGCAAGTTCCGAGCACCAATGGCCTAGAAAAACAGTATTATCAAAGGTCATGGCTTCATTAATACCATCTTCAGCATTAAGTCCTCGGCCAAGGAAGGGCCACTTGGCTATCTCAGCGCCCAGCCAGCAAGACAGTCAAGTCCCAGAGCTTCGGGAATGAGGAGGAATGACTGATCCCAAAGTGCCTGATGAGACCCAGGCTGCAGTCTCCGGGGCATGTCTACAAGTATCCCCGAGTCTGGCACACAAGTGGTCAGTGGCCCAGTTGGTGTGCCATTTTGCCTTATGTCCTTTGCCAAGTCCTCGGTACCACGTATGCCTTCATTGCTTCAACTTACAAAATAAGCATAAAACCAACTTATCTCAGTGTTGTGAAGATTAAAGAAAAGAATAACAAAGTGTACTAGCATGTAAGAGTTCAGTAAGAGGGTAACTGGACTTGTTACTTAAAATCCTGTTATAAATAAATAAAAATCCCACAGGCCCCACCCCACCTCCAAGAAAAAGTCAAGATGGTAGGAGGAGAAGCCAGTGAACCATGTCCCAGGCCAAGATTTAGAAAACATGCTGATCTTACCTTCATCTTTTCATTTTCTGCTTCTTTTGCAAGTTGGTCAACAAGCTCAATTAAACCACCAACTATTTTCTGAAACTGGCCAATTTCTTTTAAGGAAAGAACAGAAAATAAAAAATGTTTTATTTTCTCCATGTGTTTCCCCTGTGGCAAGAGGGCAGGGCTAACTGCCCCTTCTAACTTGTGTCAAAATAGTTTGGTACCTGTTGGCCTAAAGTCTTCTGCCCTTGATCTAAATCCAGAGAAGGGTGCTCAGGTACCCAGGACTGGACCAGGGTGTACTTGGACCTTGAGTCCCAACTGAGCCAGCCAGCCAGTGACTGTTAACCTCAGGTAGGAGGCTCCTGTTGGGCCCATCCTCTGCATAGACTCCATCCCGCTTTCCCAGGAGTGATGGGAAGCACAAAGGGCCATGTTCACAGTAGGACTGACTGAGGACATGAACAGAGCCTCCTGCCTAGCCACAGATAAAGCACTAGATTTCAATCCATGGTGGTTGGAGAGGGTGGGGGGAGGGTTGCCAACTGTGACCAGAGCTAATAACTCAAAGCATTTAAGTGCCTAATCTCCCATTTGCTTTTTTCAATGTCCTTGAGTGTGGTGGGATCTCATTCTACTGAGATCCTGAACTAGGACTGAACTAGGACCCAGGAAGAAAGGACAATATGCAGTGAGAAAACTGTCAATGGAGCCCATGCTGCCTTTCACCAGTCGAGCTCTCTACAGACTATGGCGTGCCCAGAAGGCTCAGAAATCCCTGCTCTTCAACCAACAACAGAAATTCCTGCTTCAGCTAGAGCTGCTCTGTATTCACTGCCACTGGGCTTGCTTGCCTGGATATCTAGCTAAAAAAAATGACTTCGTTGAGTCTGTTGAGCCTCCAAGAAATCCAATCATGAATACATAACTATTTCCCCGCCCCAAGCCAGCCACAGTTCTGCCCCCCATGAAGTTCGAGGTTTCTGAGCAAAAAAAAATCAAGGATGAGATACCCTCTCTCCATTTCACCATTGGTTTTCATTGGTGCTCTGTGTCTGACTACATGAGAACATTAGCAAGGAGACAAGGCGATTGGTTTCTGGGAATTCACAAAGGCCTGACACAACTTCCAGGGAGCCACTAGCTCCATTCTGGCAGAGACAAGAACTGCGAGTGGGAGTGGGGCCCAGCCAGAACAGCTCCAAGCCAAGTGGCACCATGTCTCCCTGAGTGACACTCACTGTCCACAAAGTCCTTGCACTCCTCCTTGAGCTCTATGGTCTGCTGGGTGACCTCAGGGTCCAACACGCGCAGCTTGTTCAGTTCATCAAAGTGCAGCCCTGCTTCACCCAGGATGTCCTTGGCCATAGCTGTGAAGAAACCAGCCTCAGTTCCTGATCACTTCCCAGCCACCCTAGGAAATGCCTGCATCCAGCCCAAGCCCACTCCCACTCCCAGACACCAGTGCCAAAACGCCCAGATTTTCCTCCAAAGGCTCCCCTTCCCTCTGCCTCCATCTCTCTGAGCCTCACCTGTTTCCCTTCCGGCTTCCCTAGAGAAGAGAAGCTCTGTGATAGTGGCAGCCAGGAGGAAGTGTCATAGGAGCAAGGGTCAGGAAAGAATAAAGTCCAGGTGGCTTGTCACTGGCATCGTTCATTCAACACACATTTCTTGAGTGCCTACTACATGCCAACACTGCTAGATGCTGGGGGTACAAAGATGAGCGCAACATGGTGCCCGCCCGGGAGGAGTACATAGTTTAGCTGGAGGAAGACAGACATGGAAACTGAGAAAGTATACTGTGTTAAGTGCTTTTACAGAAATATCACTGTTGCAGGAGAACAGAACAGTTAACAAGGTGAGGGAGTAACATTTGAACTAAATTCTGAGAAGCCATAAGCATATTTATCCCCAATTATGTACCCAAAAAGACGTGAAAGATCTTTTCCAGCACAGTACTAGCATAACACCAAAAGCAAGTAAAAGAGGAAATCTGCATGAATTAAAAATCAGAGTTAAAAAATAAGCCAGAAATAAGAACATTACCCACAATGTATGCCACAGGCTACGGCATGCTGGCCTGCACTAGAACCAAGGTCGGTTCCATCTCTCTATAGCAGAAAACACAAAAAGGAATGAAATATCAGCAAGAACGTATCAAGTGAGGAGGCTACGGAAAGGCTTTCCAAGCAGAGAAAACAGTCTGGACAAGAACGTGAAGTCAAACAGGCTAGATCTAAAAGATGAAAGTGCGAAGGGCAGAGCTGAAAAAGTCGGCTGGAGCCAGACCAGGAAGACCCTGTGTGCTGCCCAGCTAAGGAGTCTGGATTTCTTTCTGTAGGCAGGTTTATCTTTTCCCTTCCCAGGCCACCCTGCATCCCTGGTCCAAAAGATGCCTCCATTCTGGGAAGAAAACACTGAAAACTCACATTCATCCTGGCACACACACACAAAATACAAAATATATATAATTTAGGTTTTATTTATTCACAAGAGACACAGAGAGGCAGAGACACAGGCGGAGGGAGAAGCAGGCTTCCTGAGGGGAACCTGATGTGGGACTTGATCCCGGGACCCTGGGATCACCACCCAAGCCAACGGCAGATGCCCAACCACTGAGTCACCCAGGCGTCCCCAATGCACACAAATTAAAAAAGGGAGGCAATTCCCAAACGCCAGGTGTTCCAAGGGCTACCACCTGCTGGCCCTGCACCAGCACTTTCCTCTGCTCTCACCTTCCCTAGCTATTTTCCTTCCAGCTTCCTGAGAGAAGTTCTGTTCCACATGGGGTTGTTATGGGAGTAACTTCCCAGAGCAGGTAGACCATAGGAGAATTGTGTCCCGTGGCTGCCAGAACTGATTTTCAAGACAGCCAAAAATCCAGATTTATATATGAAATCTGATTTTTATTTTATTTATTTATTTATTTATTTATTTATTTATTTATTTATTTATTTATTGAAATCTGATTTTTAAAGGTAAATACTGAATTCAAAACTTTAAAGGAAAAGCCACATCCAACACTGTGGGCCAACTAATACATGTCTATAGATTGTGTATGACTGGGACACAGAGTCTCTGGCCTACTGGAATCCACTGAAGGAAATAGGCTAGCATCTGAAACATTTTAATCATCTCAAGCTTCCTTTTAATTGGGCTTTTTTTAAAATATAACACACAGTATATTAATTTCAGGTGTGCAATATAAAGATTCAACAATTCTATATTCTCTGCATCAGGATAAGTGTATTCTTTTTTAATAAATTTATTTTTTTATTGGTGTTCAATTAATTGGGCTTTTTAAAAAAGATCTGCCTTCCTGGGACCTGCCTGAGTGGCTCAGTGGTTGAGCATCTGCCTTCAGCTCAGCTCGTGATCCCAGGCTCCCGGGATCAAGTCCCACTTCGGGCTCCCCTGCAGGGAGCCTGCTTCTCCCTCTGCCTATATCTCTGCCTCTGTCTCTCATGAATAAATAAATTAAATATTTTATTTCAGAAACACCTACTGAGTCCCTGCTCTGCAGACAGAGTGGTGAAGAAAATGCTTTAGTTTCTGATCTCTGGACAGACAGTAAACAACCACAAACTGTGAGGACAGTATGAGGAAAAGCACACGGTGCCATATGAAGCTGCAGCAAGAGGACAGAATTCATATGGGGCAAGGAATGTCTCAACAAAAGCTTCTGAAAACATGACACTTAAGCTGAGACCTAAAGAATGTCCAAAAATTTGCCAAGTGAAGCAGGGAGGAGGCATTCCAGGCAGAAGGAAAAGCATGTGTCAAAATCTTGAGGCTAAAAGAAATGTAATGCATTCCAGGAACCATAAGGCTAAAACCCAGTGAACAAGGGGGCATGTGGAAAGAGGTAAGTGTAGATGAGGAGGCCTGAGCGTTCATGGAGGGCTCTGAAAGCCACAGTTATGAACGTGCGTTTTATCATAAGGGTAGTGGGCAGCCAGCAAATTCTCAGCAGGAAAGGCAGACATATGTGTCTTTTAGAACCATCACTCTGACCCAGGGTGGAGGAGGGAACAAGAGAGTGGGGTTACACATACCTTGTTCATCACTGTAACCCTAGCATCTAGCAGGGTGCCTGCACTCAGTAAATGTCTGTGGAATGAATGACTGGAAACAGAAAAGGCGATTACAGTACCCAAGGCTTGGAAGAAAAGCGTCCCCATTTGCGATGTTACATAAGCTGATGTAATTAGTAAAGCACCGACTGAATGTAGGAGTCTGGGACGAGGGAAGGAAAGAGGCAGGCAAGATTCCCATGTATCTGGCTCGAGCGCCAACTTTTAAGTTCGGTGGGCAGAGTTGAATGAGACGGATAAGACCGGATAAGGAGGGATCCCTGGGTGGCGCAGTGGTTTGGCGCCTGCCTTTGGCCCAGGGCGCGATCCTGGAGACCCGGGATCGAATCCCATGTCGGGCTCCCGGTGCATGGAGCCTGCTTCTCCCTCTGCCTGTGTCTCTGCCTCTCTCTCTCTCACTGTGTGCCTATCATAAATAAATAAAAATTAAAAAAAAAAAAGACCGGATAAGGAGGGCAGGGAGAGGGTTCACAGCCGACTATCAGATTCCCTCCCAACTCCCACCACACGTGCGTGTCTGAGCATCTGAGGAACACCGGGCACCAGAGCCGCGCGGGGCTCCCTGAAGATGACGGCGGCGGCGACACTCTCCGCCTCCCTGGCTCTCCCAGACCCGTTCCCGGCCCCGCCGGCAGGCGCCATTAGCGGGATAGTCGGCAAGAGGCGCCGGGCACACAGGTAGGAAGACCTGGGTGATGGAGCTGGCTGTCCACACTACGGAAACGCCTCGAACTTCTGGGCCGCGGTTTCGTCACAGGGCCGCTGCGAGCATCAACGCAAAGCTCCAGGCCCCAGCTGGTGTCACACCGCTCGCAAAGACGCGCGCGGAATCCCCACGTTTCTTTCGGCCTGTCAGGTTCAGTCGCCCCGGGTCCGCCCACGTCCCCCGGCCCGGAGTCGCTGCCTACCTGGCAACCCCGTAGCGGCGGCGCGCTACCGCCCGAGCTGTTTCCTGCAGGCAGCCTCTCTCCCCGGGCAGCAGCAGCCGGCGCCTCGCCCGCCGGCCTCAGCCGCTGCCACGGCTACCGTTTACCCGTAACGTCATTACCTGACTGCGGAAGTACTTACCCCGCCCAACCCGCAGAGCCTGCTGGGAAACAGGCCTGCGGGGAGGGACGGCTGCCTACAAGATCCAGAGGCCTTTGCGGCGGAAAGGCTGCCGGAAGTAGCCGAACGCTAACAGCGGAATACTCCCAGGGGCCCCTCCCTCTCCCGTGATTGGGTGCTGGGCATGGCTGCGGGGCGGGCGGGGCTGGGCCGCGGCTCAGGGCGGAGTCCGCGGGCGGAGGATGTGAGCTCACAGCCCGGGATTGCTGGCGGGCAGGCGGCCACAGCCCAGGGCGGCACGGGGTCGGCTTGCAACCCAGCTGAGAGGAGACGTGCCCCCCGGGAACGGTGAGAGGCGGGGTGCGGATGCCCTGGGGGACAGGATGGACGGGCCGCGGGCTGGAGCAGGAGCAGGAGCCCCACCCGGGGCTGGGGAGAAGGCGTGGGACGGCGGAGGGGAGGTGGAGAGCGCAAGTCCTCCACTGGGGTGGATGTCAGAATCGGTCGGCTTCTCGGTGTGAGGAGGGGTGCGGCCCGGGGAAGACTCCACCGACCACAGAGAGGTTGGGTCTCGCTAATCTTTCCAGACCTTTGGGACGAAGCCTAAGATTTACACCTCGGATTTCTGCTGGATCCGCCTCCTCTACCCAAGATTGGCCACCCGCCCCCCACCCACCCCACCGAGTGTGATGGACTTATGGGTCGGTCTTCTAGGACCCCGCCTTCTTCCACGGCCGTGGTTGTGGTCCTGCCCTTCATTCTGCTTAGGTTCCCATTAGCCTCACTGAGGGAGACTCGGATACGCCCTCAGCCCCAGGCATCCCCAAATACCCACACACAAAGTCCGGAAGGAACTGCAGTGAGGCTATCAGTGGAAACTTCATTCTCTCTGGAATTACTTTCTGGGGCGTCACCTGCCAAAGATTCCTGGAGCCCATTGGCCCGGGAGGAATCTGAGCGGTCGGCATCTGAGCTGACGTCATCCAGGGGCTCAAAGCAATTGCTTTGTAGGCTCTGTTGGCCACCCCCTAGCCTTTGAGTTCCTTTACTTTGGCAGAACATATGTTTGCTTTCTTTGATCCTGGGGAAATCGGGGCTAGACTCAAAATGCATAGGGGACTTGCTAAAACCTGTTAAGGAGTGGATTTACTCCGTTGGGGTGGGTGGGGGAAGGTGAGGTGATTTCATACTATCACGTGTTACTTAGGGATTGGACAATCTGCTGGTGAGGTTCATCTCCTCCGTACTCCATCCTTGAGGCAAGTGAGTCTCCTGGACAAGCCACCAAAGAAATTTGGCATTTCAGAAAGCAGCCGCTCTGGCCCTTCCTTGGACAGTCTTCCTAGAGGGCTACCTAAATCTTTTCAGGGACAATTTCAGTCTAACAAACTGAAATAGATTAAATACTTTCAGATGTGCATGACGTTGTGCTAATCACTGTTTGGGACAGTAGAGCAGTAAACTCGGGGAAGCCAGTGCACTGCTTCTGGATTGCACTTACAGGAGGTGATGTGCAACAGTAAACTTTTGCATACTGTGATGACTGCTGAGGCAATCACACCTTTTTTTCTGTCCGCATTGCCAACACTGCAGGCCAGGCGTCCATCAGTTGCCTAGACTGCTGCTTCCTTTACTCTTCCTGCTTGCTCTCGTGCACCATTACAGTCCATTCTCTACAGGGCAGGCAGAGTGATCTTTTCAAAATGCAAATAACTCAGGACCTATCACTCCCCTGCTTAAAACCTGCCAATCGATTACCATTGCAATTAATATAAAATGCAAACTCTCTAATATGAACTGGCCCGTGCATTACCTGATTTTACATCAAGCCAACTACCCTCTTCTTTCTAAGCACTGGACATCTTGGCCTTCTTTCTGTTCCTGAAATTTGTGTCTGAGAAACTTTGCACTTACTCTTCCATCTGTTTAGAACACTCTTTCAGACTTCAGCTGGAATGTCACCTTCCCAAAGAGGGCTTCCTGTGCCCCCATCCGTCTTAGTACTTCTCCCTAGTCATTCTCTTATCCCTAGTTTATTTATTGCATCTTTCCTTCTGGAACTGCTTACTTAAAGGTAAGGTTGGTATCTATCTCTCTGTTCCTACTGCTTAGCATAGTAGGCACTCAATCTTGTTTTACTGCTGAATGAATTAAATGAAGTAATGTATATATTGTCTACACACTACCTAGACCATGGTAAACATGCAGCAAATGTTTGCTCTTTTTTTCAGTGAATGAATTTTAGTGATTCCTTAGAAAACCAAGATGTATATATAGATAGAATCTAGCTCCTGAGGGGTGACCTGGCTTTTCCCTCCTCTGCTTTCCTCACTCCTCCTTCCTGTGAATGCCTTTCTGTGTTTCAGTTTCCAAATCACTTAAAAGTTGTTTTTAGGTTTATCATCTGGTCTTTTCCAGCCTTGTGGGTAGGGAAGAAAGGAAGGGATAGGGCTGGGCGTCCTTTCAGGAAAAAGAAGTAAAAATAGCCATCCTGTAGTTGTTCTAGCCTGAAAAATGGTGACAGCTTCAGGAACTTGGGACAGGGCGGGGATCAAGAGAGGTGAAGGTGAGGAAACCGCTGGGACCTGGGTAACTCTGCCGGGAACACTGACCAGTACCCTCCACCCCAGCTCATACCATGCTCTCCTGGAGCTGCTTTTACTTTACTTTCTGAAGCCACACTGTGGGTGGTGCTCAAAGTAAGCACTGGCGCAGGCTGCTTTGGAGCCTGGAATCTTTAGAAAGGAAGTGCATCCTGTCCCTCTGGCTCCTGGGACTCTCCTGCACTGGCAGAAGTCTTGGGTCCTAGGAATCTTGGGAAGAAAATATGTGGCTCCCCAGGGTAAAGACTTCTGCTGCCCCATCTGCTCCTCAAACCATCTCAGACTAGCTCCAAGGGTTTACTTGTCCTCTGTGCTGCCTTGACCTGTGCCGAGGCTCAAGGAGGCTGGCGAGATGATGGGCAGGCTCTGGAAGACTGTGCTGGTTCACAGTACCATAAAGAGGAGCAGGAATGCCTTCCTTTGCTGTTGCCTGGGGCCTTAGCCTCTGCCAGGGAGTCTTTTGCTTGTCAAGGAGAGAATGAGTACATAGTTCCTGCCTGTCCCCTCTCAGCTGAGGGCTCTCCACTGCTAACTCCTGTCTCCTCTCCTGTCTCCTGCTTACAGTGCTGAGAGTATGAGGCTCTGGCCTCCGCTGGCCACTTACTCGTGATCCTTCCACCACGGCGGAGCCTTCCAAGCCAACCTCCTGCCGTGTGGTGATCTACCTGCAGCGGGAGATGTCAGGAGATACCTGTCTGTGCCCAGCCTCAGGAGCCAAGCCCAAGCTGAGCGGCTTCAAGGGAGGAGGCTTGGGCAACAAATATGTCCAGCTCAATGTGGGGGGCTCACTGTACTACACGACCGTGCGGGCCCTAACCCGGCATGACACCATGCTCAAGGCCATGTTCAGCGGGCGCATGGAGGTGCTGACTGACAAAGAAGGTGAGGCACGGGGTCTCATTGGGCCAGCTGAGGAGGGAAGGAAAGAGTTCCTGAGGAAGTGCTTTGGGGTAGGGCTTAAGCCTGGCAGATCTAGACTCCAGATTCTCTTTTCCTATTACTCGGTACAGGACTCTTTCACCTGGAATCCTTGGTAGAGTTTCAGAATTCTTTGAAGTTGTACATAGAATGGTGTGTGCTTCCACATTTTCCAGGGAGAAGATCCATACTTTTTTTTTTTTTTTATGATAGTCACAGAGAAAGAGAGAGAGAGAGAGAGAGAGAGAGAGGCAGAGACATAGGCAGAGGGAGAAGCAGGCTCCATGCACCGGGAGCCCTATGTGGGATTCGATCCCGAGTCTCCAGGATCGCGCCCTAGGCCAAAGGCAGGTGCCAAACCACTGTGCCACCCAGGGATCCCAGATCCATACTTTTTAAACATGCACAGAGGACTAGATTCTCATAAGAACCACCCCTGCAGTGACTGGGCAGTGCACAGAAGGTAGGCAGGGCCTGGTGGTTCCTGTGTTGCCAGGAGGTGGGCCTGAGTGCTCCTGAGCTTAGACCTCTGGGCTGCCACAGAGGCTGGAGGACCTCTGCCTTTCACAGTATGTGCCATCTTCGGTTGAAAAGAACAGCCACAGACCTAAGAGGTGGTGTGCCCACTTCTGTTACCCTGTGCCATGGGCTCTATGCTTATATGCTGCTTACCCCCTGCCACCAGGCTCGTCAAGTGGCCTTTGCCTGCTGCTTGGTATCTGGGAGCAAAGAGTAACTGTCCGGGGCTGTCTGAATCCCTAGGTTGGATCCTCATAGACCGATGTGGAAAGCACTTCGGCACCATTCTGAATTACCTCCGAGATGACACCATCATCCTCCCACAAAACCGGCAAGAAATCAAGGAACTGATGGCTGAAGCAAAGTATTACCTCATTCAGGGGCTGGTGAACATGTGCCAGACTGCTCTGCAGGTATGGGAATAAAACGGGGTTAGGTTGAGGAGGTTGGGAGTTGGTGCCACCCTTAGCGACATAAAGGTCCAATTCCTGAAAGGTCGCGTGACAGATATGGTTGGTGAGTCCAAACCTAGTTAGGTACACCAGCTGTTGGCCAGGCCAGGGACACTGGCAGCCAGTCAGTTTGTACGGTGATGGACTCAGACAGTATGACTATGCCCAGCTTCCAGTTTCTGTGTCGTGATATCCGGATTTTAGGTTTTCTGGAAATGGGGTTCCGCTTGCCAGCTGGCAGTTTTTATTACCAGGTGCCTCAACAAGCAGAGGGTAGCTTTGACAGAGGGGTCTGACAGCTCCTGGGGAAAGCCTGGCTTGGCCTGGCAAGTAGGCGATCTCAAAAAAGGTTCTCAGCTGTGTGTGTCCCCCAGGACAAGAAGGACTCCTACCAGCCTGTGTGCAACATCCCCATCATCACGTCCCTGAAAGAGGAAGAGAGGCTCATCGAATCCTCCACCAAGGTACTGGGACCTCTGAGGGCTACGGGCAGGGGAGGATGGGACCCTGGCCTGGCCCTCATGCTCTCCTCCCTCCCAGCCCGTGGTGAAGCTGCTGTACAATAGAAGCAACAACAAATATTCTTATACCAGGTAGGGTGGGCATCTGGGGGCTGAGGGCTTGGGGGCCGGGCTTGGGGAAGGGCTGAAGAAGGAGCTAGAAGGGCTAGGCAGCCAGCGACAGGGCAGCTCACCCAAGAGAAGCCACCTGCACTCCTGGCACCATTGACAAGGGTCTAGGTCTCAGGCAGGAAGAACAGAGAGAGAAGGGAAATTAGGGCAGAGGCATTTGGAACTTGCTCCAGGGCCCTGGCTGTGACATAGATGAGAACAAATCGGAACACACACACACAACACCCCCCCATTCCACCCCACCCCCACCCAACATGTCCTGTCAGGCGGCGTGCCAGGTGTTTTCCCAGCATTATCTTATGAGGTGGAGGAGGGACACCGGGAAGCCCATGGCTAGGACTCCTCCTAAGCCAGCGTTCATGCTTGAGCTGGGCCAGTTTCTCCCTTGCCCGCCAGTGTCCTCTGAGCTAGCCACAGCTATATGCCGAAGGCCGCAGGCTCAGTGAGTCCCCGGGGACAGACATGTAGCCAGCATCCGCCCTACAGCAAGGGAACAAATCCTCTTGCTACTTCTCTTCCTTTGGAGCCTAATGAAAGGAGACCTCCCTCCCTCAGTTCTCTCTGCTTTAACTTCAAACCAACTCCCCTCCTCTTCCTCACAGGCCCCCAAACCCAGAGGGTGCCTGCAACCCTTCTTCCTGCCCCCTCTGGCATCTCAACTTTTCCTCAGTTCTGCATGACAGGGAGGAGGAGGGAGGGAGGCACCCAGCTAGCACCCTCCCTCGTGCTGGAACCTCACTCCCAGGCCTGCTGGCCTTCATGGGTTTTTCAGCAACTCCGACGACCACTTGCTGAAAAACATCGAGCTGTTTGACAAGCTCTCCCTGCGCTTCAACGGCCGCGTGCTCTTCATCAAGGACGTCATTGGCGATGAGATCTGCTGCTGGTCCTTCTACGGCCAGGGTCGCAAGCTGGCAGAGGTGTGCTGCACCTCCATTGTGTATGCCACGGAGAAGAAGCAGACCAAGGTGTGGGGGCTTCCCTCTGTGCAGGTCGGGACATCCCAGTGTAGCCCCAGCTGTGCCTTTTACCATAGGGAGTGAAAGGGCATTCGGTTTACTGTTTTCCCCAGATTCACATGATGGTGCTGGGCAAGGACAAAGCCAGTTCAAGGAGTTCGGGGAATGGCTTGGGAATCCTTTGTCAGCTGAGAGGTGGGGCTGTTGACCAGCAAGGAACAGTGTGGTGCAGTGGAAAGGACTGGGTCTTTGGAGCTGGCCCAATTCAGGTCTGAATTCTGGTTCTACCATTTACCAGTTTTCTGACTTTGTCCAAGCCATTTAAACCATCTGGGCCTCAATTTCCTCACCTGCAAACATGGGCATGATGGTATCCAGTTAATGAAACTATTAGGGAAATGACGTGCTTCCTAGGAGCAACAGTGCAGGGTCTGATCTCTTTGGCTCCTGCCAGTTGGGTGTTCCTGGTCAATCAGCTTAACCTCTGCAGTTAATAACACCGCGCCAGGTACATGTGAGGGGTTTGACAGGTGATAGTTAACACAAACTCAGCAAACCCTGACCTCCCAGACTGCGAGCAGTCAGGTCCTTCCCAAAGAGAAGCTGTCCGCTGTGTGTATAATGGAGGCAGCAAAGGCCTTTGCTGGGCTAGAAGGGCAGCTCACTCGGGAGAGTTGCGTGTGAGGGGCTTGAAGCAGCCAAGCTTGTATAGCACATGCTCAGCCCCCAGGCCCCTGAAATGCCTCGAGCTGGGCAGTCTGAGGGTTGGGGTAGGACAGCTTATGGGAGGTGGCTCTGCTTCCTTCTGTTGTTTTGTGGGTGGGGACTCCCGTGTATCCGTATCAACAGAGTCAGGATTCAGGGACAGGTCTCATGCGGGCAGTTACACTGCAGAAGTGACAGCAGCACCTGTCACCTTCCTTAGTGTTTTCTTTTTCATAAACTTTTTGACTCCTCACACCCCACCTGTGAGACAGGCAGGGCTAGAGCATTGTCCCCATTGACAGATGAGGGAGCGGAAGCTCAAGGTAGGCCAGAATTCAGGCACCTATCTGTCTTTCATGTAATGTTCACAACAGCTCTCTGAAGTAGATACTAGCCCTGATTTTACACAGGTGGAAACTGAGGCATAGCAAGGCTAAGCCCAAGGTCCCACAGCTAGTAAGGGGTGGAGCTGTACTTAAGCCCAGGTCTGACCACAGAGCCAAGGCCCTAAGCTCCGCACGTAGTAGTTCATCAGTCTGGGATCAGGTGGGGCGTGGGGCATGGGGCATGGGCCCTGTGGCATGCTTATGGCCACAGAGTACAGCTCCTCAAGTCTCCTTCAGAGAGCCCTCCCCTCCCTCATGAAACAGAAAGCTCTATGAGGAACTCCTAGAGCCAGCAGAGTCATGGGCCCTGACAGGTTGCTGCCTTTCTGGGATGAGACACCACTCAGTCCTCCTGTCTTCCTTATCCCAGGTGGAATTCCCAGAGGCCCGAATCTATGAGGAGACACTCAACGTCCTACTGTATGAGACCCCCCGAGTCCCTGACAACTCCTTATTGGAGGCCACAAGCCGAAGCCGCAGCCAGGCTTCTCCCAGTGAAGATGAGGAGACCTTTGAACTGCGGGACCGGGTCCGCCGTATCCATGTCAAGCGCTATAGCACTTATGATGACCGGCAGCTTGGCCACCAGTCTACCCATCGCGACTGACAAGACCCTCAGGGAGTCAGGACACCCTGTCTCCCCTCCTGTGGAACCCTGCCCCATTGGCCACCCCCCACGCTGGCGCTGGCTGGGTTTCTGCTCCAGCACCCAGAGGCATGACAGAAAGGCAAAGGGCCCGGCCCGAGCAGGAGAGGGACCAAATTCATTTGCCCTGCTCCCTGAGCACTTCACGATGACCACATCCTGGACCCTTTGCTCACCTTTCCTGACAGGGAGCTGCTTCTGCCCCTGGGGCAAATGGACTGACCTGCCCACCTCCTATGAGAACAATCTTCTCGACCCTTTGCTGAGTGTCCTTTTGCTCCACTGAAGGGCTGCCTTGAGGCCTCTGAGGAACAGGCTCGTTCTGGTGCTGTGGAGGCCCAGTTTCTTACAGAAGGTGGGGCTCCTTTTTCCCTGACGTGTTTTAAGCACAGGCTTCATGATTTTGGTTTTTAAAAAATTATCTAGGAAATGAATAGTTTTAGGTCTAACAATGAGGGGACTGGGTATATGTGCTACCCCTCTAGGGGTAGGTCCCCTCTTGGCCTTTCTTGATGCCTTTGGGGTCGGTTTCTTTAAAGCACTTTGTACTTTTATTCAGGAGATTTGTATTCTGCCCTGATCCCCATCATCTTTTTCTGACTCTAACCCCTCTTCCCTGCAGAATCAGTCTGAGAGGGGCTAGAGAAGCAATAAAACAAAGAACTACCTTTGGCTTTGCTGAGCAGGCCAGGCAGCTGTTTCAGATAGCACACGGGAAGGAAGGGCATTTACGCTGGGAACTGTGGTCCTCGTAATGCTCACGAGAAAGAACACTTTAAGGTCATATAACTGACTCCTAGGGCCTTACATGATTGCTAGATTATTCTCTTGCCCTCGGCTCCAAGGCATGCTTTGCTTTACTTACTAGAAAGCCAAAGAGCCATGATGGGGCCAGGAGCATGAGGCCCAGAAGGCAAGCTGTGGAGCCTGTGGGTACTGCGCTTGATGCCCACCAGCCGAGGATGGGGAACCCGAGCTCTGCATTCCCAGCAGCCCTGTGCAGAAGTGGCATGTGCTTGGCCATTGGCTAGTTACCTCCTGCCCGCCCCCTACTATTGGTTTTGTGTCCTGGCTGGGATGGTGGTTCTGCCCAGCCTTGGGTCTGAACCCAGGGTGATGTGAGCAGCCTAAGTCCTTTGAAAGGCTGGGTCATGGGTCATGTGGCCACGGAGCTGCTGAGCCCCAGCTCTTGGGCAAAGGAGCAAGTTCCTCCTTGGGGGCTTTTTTTCACAATCTTCTGTTTGGCTTGGCCCTTACCTGAATTATTTTCCAAAGGAATGCCATCAGGGAGAGAGCTGCTCAGCCAGCCTAGCAAGACCCCATAGCCACTGAGTGGTAGCCACCGGGCAGGAGCACAGGTTATCAGGGCCCTCTCCTGACTATGGCCACTATAGCTAAGTGGCCTGCTTGTGGCTGACCCACTGGAGCCTCTGGGCAAATGCCAGCCATGGTTCAGACACCCACAAGGACCTGAAATGACATGATGGGGCAAGGGAACCATGACTAACCTGGCATTTTATGCTTGTCACAGCCTTGAATATGTAGACTTTCAGGTGAGGCACCCTGCTCATCAGCTCCAAACACTTCTTCCAGCCCTCACTGGAGTAATAAGATGAAGACAAATCCATTTCTTTGGCCAGATTCCGACTTTGGCTTTGTAGCTTTCCCACAGAGACTGGAATGCTCCTGGCCCAGGCTGAGGGTCTATTTCCTCAGCCCTGGCTCTCTAGCCCTCCAGCCCTCCCTCCTGAGGCCTGCTCAAAGCCCTGGCTCCCCACTGAGGTATTTTAATGCCTGTCCTTTGACCTCCCCTGCCCTGCAGCCTCTTTGCAGCTTTGACATTTAGATCCTCAGCTGTCTCAGTGGTGATTAGTCTTTCTTCCTGAGAAAGCACAGTAATCCTGGACTGATCAAAGTATCTCCCTGGTCTTAAGAAAAATACTAACATTGCAACCACTGATGTAATCTTAACTTCTTTACTCAGACTTTGTGGCATATGGGTTTGGGGAATTTTCTTTGTGCCTCTCAGCCCCATTCGGAAAGCAGCTCTTGGCTGTGTGAATTTTTCAATTGGGGGGGGGGGGGGCGGGCCAAACAAAAAGCGTGGATGAAGGTCAAACTTTGTCGGTTTCTGAGAAAACTAGAAGCCTGCTGTTCATCACATGGGTTTTATTCTTATATCACCCACGTCGCCTAAAGGATGGCCCAACTCCTGCCGAGAGAACTTCTTTGCCACTTAACTGTAATCCTTTGTTGCTCACCACAGGTGATGGAAACAAACACTAATTTCTAATAAAATTGTGTTACACTGCGGTAGTACAGAGTCGTGCTTGCAGTGATTAGAGCTGGGTCAGCTCACTGCTATGGACACAGTTGGATTTCCCATTCACCACCTTGTGTTCTCCCAGAATCATAAATCCTATTGCACTCAGTTGCCCTGCAACCCGGGCTCCCCCTGGTGGAGGATTAAGGACGACACTAATGAGGGCTGGAACTGAGATTTAATATTAAGAATAAAAGGACCTCTTTAACAATCACTATGGTAGTAGGGAAGCAGGAATCCTAAGACTCGGGAAAATGCAGCACATTTCATCTCTGGCTCTTGGAGATCTGCAAGCAGCTCAGAAAGTAGCTTGGCTCAGTCACCGTCCTTACGTAACTAAAGCTCCTTGGCTGAGTTTCTGTATTTGCGGTGTGGAGGCCTGAAGGCTCAGGGCTGGCAAGCTATTCCAGGGAACTTGAAGGGCTTGCCTCACTCCTTCCCAGGCCCAGTGAGGCCGACGATGTCAATGGTTAGCCAGTGCTGAGAGCCTGAGCCTGCTGCTGGCCTCCTGCTCTGCACTTAGCAGAGGATAAAGAACGAGTCCAGTCTAGCCCCCAACCCACTGGCTGAGAGGCATGATGACCCCAGGAGACATCCAGCCAAGCCCCAGCCTCAGGAGAGAAAGAAACAGATACATACTCTAGTAGATGGGGCAGTTTCCTGGAAAGACAGCAAAGGAAAGCAACCAAGGGCCCCAACTACACCAAAAGGGGAGCCTGAGACCCCGGCAGAAATGGCGAGGGTGGCCAAGTGTGCACTGGTTTATTGACCAAACCTCATATTCCAAACAACTTGTGTGACAGGCCAGGAAACCCCAGGCCTGTGGCAGCTGAACATAGAATTCCTGGTGGAAAGCTTTACTGGAACACAGTGTAGCCAGGGCTTACAGGGGAGGCCAGCCTTGGAGGAGTCCTACACAGGTCTTCTGGAGAAAACGATTACACCCACGCACTGAAAAAGAACCCCACAATCAAATGGCTCAAATGATAAAAAGACCCACTGTGGCCCATGGTGGAGAGAGAGTTCTGCAGCAATTGTGGGATGAGAGCTGTTCTTCAGGGGCTGAGCCTAGGCACTCAGGCCTCAGCTGGCCTACCAGTGAAGGCCTGAAGGTGGTGTTTTCTCATCTTTATTGCTTTCCAGGGAGAAGGGAGGGATCCGGACATCAAAGTGGGAACCATCAGGCCTCTCAAAGCGGAATGTGCCCCTGTGGGTTAGAGAGAAGCTGGGTTAGAGGGAGCGAGGGCTGAGGCCTTACTGAGGCTCTTGAGAGCCACAGGCCCTCAGCTCCAGAACTGAACACAGTGGATGAGGCAGGACGGGCTCTCTTTGGCCCAGCTCATGTCAGAATAACGCTGGTCCAGAAACCTAAGAGCCCTTTCTGGCCCTACATGAAAAGAAGAAACGCAGCTGTCCTGATTCTGGCCCTTAGATGCATACTTCATAAGCTACCCAACTATACTATCAGGTTAAAGAGTGAACCACCGGGAAAAAAAACAACTCCATGGGCAACTCAGTGCAGCATCAAACCACCAGACCTCTTAGGCCTAAGTCCTCAGTCCATGAAATTACAGGGAACTAGAAAACAGAAAAAAATTAGACAAGTCCCATGCAACAATCAAGAGCAAATAAGGCTGCATCTCAAGATGTAACCTGGCCCTGAATTAACCACAAACTACAAGCTCTCACTTTTCTGACCTGCGGCTGTGTCTGCGGGGTGGAGGTAGCCCTGTCCCCTGCCCGTACTCACTTACCACATGTGCCCGCTGGAAGCCTGCAGGGAGACGTGGCTGCTGTACTGGAATGCAGGCTGCTCCTTGGATAACACTGGTTCCTGTAAGGGTTCAGGCAAAATCGGTATGGCCAGACAAGCTCCCTGTACCCCAGGCCACATGCTGACTGCCAGAGCATCAGGAGGATGCCCCTTAGGCCTCCCACAGTGACTGCCTGCCAGTACCACCTCCCACGGCATAGCCGTTGACCTGGGCCTTTTATTCTGATTCTGGGAAAGAGAACCTCAGACTTAACATCTGTGGGCATGGGGCAAAGATGCTAGGCATAGGACCTCCTCTGTAAATACCCCTTCCAGAGTCCATTCACTGAGTGCCTAGATGCCAGGCACCACGGTGGTGCTCTGTAACCTCTGCTGACTTAAACCTCCTAGTAATTACGAGGTAATAGGTGTGACCCCCATTTTATCAGGAAAAAAACTGAGATTGTTGGTTAAACTGGCCCAAAGTTATGTGGTGAGTAAACCACACATAGCTGGCATTCAAAACCAGACTATCTCACTCCAAAGCCCTATTCTCAATATCCCACCCTGCTTCCCAACTCCCTGCTAACATGGAAAAATGGATGTTAAATGTGGCCCCTGGCCATTTCTTGTGACTTTATTTCACAAGAGACAGAGTTGGGTAGTGCAAGATTTGCAAAATCAGATCTCTGTGGACTAGCAGAGGATGCAAGTATGTAAAGAGGCAGAAGAATGACAACCAGAAGCAATGGGATGAGTGGGGATATTTTTAGTAAGGCTCTGTGCTGGCAATAAGACCTCTACATAAGCTTTGATGTCAGACTCCCTTGGATTCAAATCCAGGTCCTTCCACTACCAGCCACACAACCATGGGCCAGTTATTCACTTCACAACCTCTCTCTTCATCTGTGAATCAGGTAGTAAGAAAACTCTCTCACGGTGGTGTTGTAAGGTGTCACCCAAAACAGCCCAACACATTCACACACTGCCTCTGTCCCTAGCCACAGAGGAGGAGAGCAGGCACTCAGCCCCCAGGCCTGCTGGGAAGGAACAGAAAGTAGGCATTATTGGCCTGATGATGCTTACCCTGCCCACCACTCCTCGGCCTCTCACTGTCTCCAAGGTGCCAGATAAACTGAATATCCTCCAGTGTCGCTCCCGGAGCTGCACCACATCACTATCGAGGTTCTCTAAGCGGATACAGTAGCGCCACTGTGGGGAGTGGAGGAGAGAGTTCACAGCTGAAAAAGAACACCTGGGGCACCCCACCCAGTATTCTAGGAAAGCAAAAGGCAACAAAGACAAACAACCTGCAGTGCACAGCCCCACCCCCTCACCCTGCGCCAGAGGCAAATTCCAACTCCAACCCCCCCCCCCCCCCCCCCCCCCCCCCCGCCACCACCCTCCTAACCTGTACCCCCGATCCTATCCCTCCAGGCACACACTCACCCAGTAGACATGGGAATTCTGGGCTTCCTGGGGAAAAACACAAAGAATTTAAGTCCCAGAGGGCAGAAACGTCTGTTCTAATCAATAGTTCTCCAACTGAGTAGGTGTGTTCCAGGAAGGTTACAGAGACAGAACAATGCTGTTATGTGTGGGATGGAGAGTGGACTACAGCCAACAAACCCAAGAGAAGACAGCCTCCCCTGGCCTCATCCCTGGCCTCCCTCCTCCTTATCCTATCAAGATCACCAACAGAGCTGGGTGCCAATGGAAGTAAGCCACAAGGCCCTTCCCTTTCTCCCCAGTCATCCAGCTAGCTGCTGCCCCCAACTCCTGTAATCACTGCTGGCCCAGGCCACTGCCCTCCTCATCGGCCCTTCCATAGCCCAACACCATGACAATACTTGATGTGGTAACCTCTCCCACTACCATGAGCTCCTGTAAGGCAGGGACACGGTTTCATTTTTATTTGAAGCTCACAGCCAGGCAAGAAATAGTTCAATAAACATCTGACTAATGCATATAAAGTGTGAAGATCAGCCTATAGAGATTTAAACAAGTATGTGTATACTCTTCATAAACAGGAATCCCCTGAACCAGAACAGAAGGAAGAGTCAGCCTGGAGGACTCCATCCCAGAACTTGAGGATTTACCTGCTGCTCTAGGTCCCAGTGTCTGCCCCTTATGTGTAGCCCTGGGAAGAACCACGGGACACACAGTTTAAATCTGGAACCCACTCCAGCAGTCACACTGGGAACAGCACAGAAAACCTGGGGGCCTACCCCTGGGGGAAGGGGCCCAGGCCAGGTACACACCCTCATGCCCATGTAGAAGGGGATGACAGTGACACGAATGTTCTCTGTTGTCTCCCGGTGAACATCAGAGAGCTCCAGCCAGGGGTGGTTCTTCTCTTGCCAGGCCCGTAGTGTCTCCCGGGCCACAAAAGGGGGTGCTGAGGCAAGAAAGGACTAATCAGTCAGGCCCAATCCCAGGGGTTCTCCAACTGCCCCTCCTAGAGAACACTCCCCAGGGCTGGCTGGGGAAACGAGGGACCCAAACATGAAGCAAATGCACAGTCTGGAAGAAGGCACGAGGCCACCAAGAATAAGCCCTGAGGAGTTATGTGACATCCTAGGAAGAGAAATGGGCTAGGAGTGAGGAGCTCAGGTTTTCTGACCCTATTGTAACCCTGACCTTGCAGGGTTGAGTCCCTTCTTATCATCCCTGAGCCTTAGCTTCCATGTCTATGAGGAAGAGATAACAGCCACCCACCCAATAGGTCTAATGGGACGTCGAATAAGGTTGTGGATAGGGAGCTTTGAAGTTACTTCTATAACACTATCTTTGAAGAAAGGGCCCTCTTGCTCCAGCTTCCCTTCTTGAGAACTCACCTTTTGTCTGGTCATACAGAAGAAATCTTTCAAACAGCTCATGCTGGATGGGAACCTGATCGGTAGAGGTATAGGGGAGGATGTCTTCATGGCTGACATAGTCCAGGCCTGGCACAGGGAGGAAAAGAGGCAGTGAAACTCATACAGGAAAAAGGGAGGAACAAGGCTGAGAAGAAACACAATTCCAGGGGGATCCCTGGGTGGCTCAGCGGTTTAGCGCCTGCCTTTGGCCCAGGGCGCGATCCTGGAGTCCCAGGATGGGGTCCCGCATCGGGCTCCCGGCGTGGAGCCTGCTTCTCCCTCTGTCTGTGTCTCTGCCTATGTCTATCATAAATGATGGATAAATCTTTAAAAAGAAAGAAAAAGAAACACAATTCCTGGCCTTGTCTCAAGGTTGGATGAGCCTGGTACCATCACTCTCAGCTTGTCTCATCCCTCCTAGCAGATTAGAGGCATCAGAATCTTCTCATTGAGACCCACCAGACCTCTCATCAATAGGCATATTCAGATGCTCACTACTCACCTGGAATGGCGTAAAGGGCCCGGCTGTCATCATGGTTAGCCAAGAAAGTCACAGCTTCTGTCTGAGATCTCTGAGACTAAGGCAAGAAGTCAGAGATTTTCTTAGTCACTATCCAGTCCTGAGAATGTGGGCCCAGTGCTGATCCAGGCTCTCTGGGACCATCCTCCCTCTCTCTGTTCAGACCTTTCCCATGGAGAGAAACCCCCGGCCCAGCCATCTTGCTTACTTACTATATGTGGACAGTCTCGGGCATCAATCAGCACCTGATAGTAAGTGTGAGTTTTGCCTTTCACCTCCTTAGAACCATGGCCAGCAGGATTCTCTGCTCTACAGGGTAAGAGAAGAAGCCCAATATCACCCCAAGAGAAACAGAAGTAGTGCCTGCCCTCGCTCCCTACCACCTCCTTACCCCCAACAGACTAGTTAATGCCGGCTCTGAAGGGGTTTCAGCAGCAGCTGGGTATCTGCTCAGCAACACCCAGGCTCAGCCCCTCCCCAACCAGAGGCCAATAAGGGAATGCGGAGGGCCCATGGCTCAAAGTCACCATTTGTCTTACTCGCTGGCTGCTTCTTGGAAGAAGGGGACCATGCTGAGAAAGTCAAATTGCCCTTGGCCTTGGCTCCATCCATGGAGCCCCAAGCACCCCACTCTTCAAACATCCATGGAGATGTCTATGATTACTTAATGAAACTAGGCCTTTCTTTTTTTTTAAAGGGATTTTATTTATTTATTCATGAGAGACACAGAAAGAGAGAGAGGCAGAGACACAGGCAGAGGGAGAAGCAGGCTCCATGCAGGGAGCCCAACGTGGGACTCGATCCTGGGTCTCCAGGGTCAGGCCCTGGGCTGAAGGTGGCACTAAACCGCTGAGCCACCGGGGCTGCCCCGGCCTTTTCTTTTTTAATGTACTTGTGTAAGAAATCGAAAGAAAGGTTATAACTGAACAACAAAAAAATCAAGAAAATTAGTCCCTCAATGCTTTTTGGGTGACTTATAATGCAAATAGAAAACAGCTTGGGAAAGCATCCTGGGGAGGCCTACAGGGACCCTCTGACTTAAGACTGTCCCTGGCACTCAGCACTTTTATCTCCATGGTGTCAGGGAAGTACTCTGGGACTATTTCCATGGCCCAGGAGAATGTTGAATTCACCCCAGGGACCCCAATTATGTATGTTGACCATGAGTCAGGCCTCCTCCTGGGGGTATTGCGAGGTGCAATGACAGGGGTACTTACTTCTCTGGAGCTGCAGAAGCCACATCCCGGTCATATAGTCTGGCCTGCCAGGGAAACAGGACGACACCTCGGTAGCCAAAAACACTATGAAGGAAGAGCTAGGAGGAAAGAGAGCCTCAGTGAGGAAGCAGTCCACGTCCACAAGTCCTTCCAGGTGGGACTCAGACTACTAAGCGGCACAGGTGGCTACAATCCCAGCACAAGATCTTGCCAATCTTTCCCTTGAACTCTGTGATCTACCCTCACCAGCTTCAGGACACTCTTACCTCCTCTTTACCTGGCTGACTTCTACTGATCCTTTAGACCATAGCTTAGAGCTCTAGGAAGCCTTCCCTGACCTCCCCTCCACTTAGCATCATGCTTAGCCACAGACTCCATCTAGACTTCCTCTCTAGACTGCCAGCTCTACGAAGGCATTGCTTTCTGAGTCAAGTTCAATGCACAACACCTGGTCCGTTGCAGGCATTCAAGCGGGAAGTTGAGTAAACAAAAAGTCCTTACTTACAAGGGGCCTAAATCTATTTTAGTGGATCTCGCACAAAGCTGATAGGAAAACAAGAATCTCACACCCACAGCTTATATTACACTGCAATCAGTTCAACTATGACAAAGAATCAAGAGTTTGCTTTTCTTTTTTTCTTTCTTTCTTTTATTTTTAGAGAGGGAGTAAGGGGAGGGAGAGAGGGAAGGGAGAGAGACAATCTATAGCAGGCTCCACACCTAGCCCAGAGTCAGACGTGGGGCTCGGTCCCAGGACCCTGAGATCATGCCCTGAGCCAAAATCTAGAGTTGGACATTTAACTGTTTGAGCCTCCCAGTCACCCCCAAAGGTTTGCTTTTCTTTCTTTCTTTTTTTTTTTTTTTAAAGATTTTATTTATTTACTCATGAGAGATACACAGAAAGAGGCAGAGACACAGGCAGAGGGAGAAGCAGGCTCCCTGTGAGGAGCCCATTGTGGAACTCAATCATGGGACTCTGGGACCACGCCCTGAGCTAAAGGCAGATGCTCACAACCACTGAGCCACCCAGGCATCCAAAGCTTTGCTTTTCTGAAAGCTCCCTTCACTGGCTTCCCACCTTCCACTAAATTATAGGATTCAACAATCTGGCTCTCTCCTTCCTTTGGTTCAAATTATCTCTGTCCACGCTAACTTAGAAGGAGAACCCTTTGATACATGAAAAGGATTCAGATCCAGGAAAACAGAAACCCCATCTTAAAAAATCTGTGATTCTGGTCTGGCACTGAACACCAAGGCAGAAAACTGTAACATTCGAGCCTATGACCGAAGCTGACCCTTTCAAGATGCAGGGCATATCCTGAAAATGAAAAATGACCCAGCCCAGCACTCACCTGCCCGGTCTCATATTTTCCATTCTGTTTTGGCACCTCAAATACACCAACCGTCTCCAAAACTTTGCCCTCTGGTCGGTTTCTGGTTAGGAAGGAAAAGAACAAGCAACTGAAAGGCTGAGGAGGTAATGGTACCTAGCCCATCAGAAAAAGCTACTAGGATACCGAGGGGCCAGGCAGTGACAGCAGAGAAAGGCCCAAGCCGTGGGGCAGGTGAAGCAGGGAAGGGTCCTGCCAAACCACCACTCCAGATCCCGTCTTTTCCTCTTTGAGATCTAGCCACAGGCCCTGCCTCGGTTTCTGTGTTATGTCTGACGGCTCCCACATCACTTTGTTCTCTCTTCACTCTCAGCATTCCTCATATCATGCCCTCGCACCCTGCTTATTTGTACCTCTTGCCGGTTTCTTTCCTGCCCTTCCCACCTTGCATTTGTTATTTGTGCCCATGTCTCATCTCAACTAGAGACCGTAGGTTCTCTGGGAGCAATACCTGCGTCTGATGAGCCTGTGTTCCCCCTCAGAGCCAAGTGTGTAAAACATTTGTTCTAATTCCATCTCTGTCTATGCCCAGAAACTGCAGCCTTCACCCTGCCCTTGAAGGGCTTAACCATCATCACCATACGTCCTACTGCACTCCCCGCATTGCACCTAGTAGTCTTTCAATCTAGTTTTTGTTCAGATTTACATCAAATTTCCCTCGGGTCTTAAGGTGCAAATACTTATCATCCATCTTTCCCCAACACCAGTGTCTAATTTCAGCCCCCCCCCCCCAAAAAAAGGTCAGTTCTCTCAGTGGTCTCTCTGGACAGGGCTGCTCTTTCTAGGGGTCCTTCCAAGGTCTGCTATTCTTAGCCTTGTGGAGACGTGAACCTTATGCTCCCTCTCACTTGATCCTCCAGGCCGTTTGACCTGCCTGTCCCATCGCTAGAGACCATGCTCACATCATCCCCGTGACCTCAAGCCCCCTCCCCAGGTCACACACTAAGAACCAGCCTCCCCAAGGTCAGCTGAAACCTGGGCCCTACGCAGGGCCCTCCTAAAAGTCCTGTTTCCCACTTCGAGCATCTTTCTGAGGGAGGCCTTGTCCTAACCCGGGGCTGGGGTTCATGTCGGAGCCCTAAAGTTTAATTAAAAGGCTGCCCACTAGCAACAGCGCTCGAGATCCCCATCTGGGGAGGCAGGATTCGCTCTGGGAGGTTACTAGCTCCCGCTCAGGGCCAGCCCGGCGTAACCCGGGGCTCTGGGCCGCGCTCCCTTCTCTGTTCCTGGCGCACGTCCCAGGCAGGGCGGGTCGGCTGCCGGCCGGGACCCTCTCCCGGGTCGCACCCCAGTCACCCTCGGCCGGCCGAGCCTCCCGGCCTCCTCGCGGGCCGGAACACGCTCCCCGGGCTCCAGGGACGGGCCCCGCGCTCAGTCCCTCACCGGGACGAGAGGTGCCTCCGCGTCGTCGCTGTCGCCGCTGGCGGGAAGGCCCCAGCTCCACCTGCCACACAGAGTGGCCTCGGCCCCCGAGCCCCGGTTAGCGAGCGGGCCCACCAGCGGCTGCCCACGGCCAGGGCCCGCCGGGCCACGCAGCCCGCCATGTCCCGGGGAGCGCCCGCTCGGCGGCCGACACTGGGCCCAGGCCGCGGCCGCGGGCGTTCTGCCCCCGCCCCACACTGCCCCGCGCCGCGTCCCCGCCCCCTCGGCCCCCCGCCGGGCTCAGCCCGCCCCGCGAGCGGCAGGCTCCTTCCGGCGCGCGGTGGGCGGAAGTCCCGGCCCCGCGTCACCTGACCCTAAGTCCGGTAGACATGGCGTCTTGCCTGCTTGCGGGTGATCGGCTGGTGCGCGCTTTGGCTCCCGGTGGGGAGCTGGAGCCAGAGCAGCTGCCCCGGAAGCTGCGTGCAGAACTGGAAGCCGTGCTGGGGGAGAAGCACAAGGACGGTGATTTTCCCAGTGGCCCCTCGCGCCTGGTTCCCTTCCGCCTGATCCGAGATCTGCATCAGTACCTGAGAGAGACGGGTGAGCCCCAGTCTCCAGCCCGGACTCACCTCCCTTTTTCCAGAGTCTTCTCCCACCTCTGGCATCGTTACGAGGGGGGAAAAATGCCATCAGCCTCCGTCCCCCGCGGAATGGTCATCTAACCAACCCAAGAGTCACCTCATAAACCGTAGGGCAATACACTCCCTTAACAGCTTCCGTGGATGGGGCTTCTTGTGCCGTTTCTGCTCTCTTGAGAGTCTCCCCTTCACTACGCAGCCGACTCCGGGCCGCCTGACCTTTGAGGAGGTCTAGTTTTAAACCAGTACCGCCGCACAAGTTCAATTTCTTAAAAGCCACATTAGAAAATGACGTAGGATAGTGAGCTTGTCCTGTTTGGAAATCTGGATTTCTTTCCATCTCAAAAGCAAGCCAAATCTGATAGGGTTTTTTATTTTTCTCTTTTTCTTTTTCTTTTTTTTTTTTTTTCTTCCACGTAGGATGATGGAAAGCCGTATTGAAAGACCTGACCTGGGAGTCGCATCTGAGTGCTAGTCCTAGCTCTGCCACAAAGTCCTCTTGGAGAATTCATTTCTTTTCCTTGGGTCTCAGTTCCCTTAACTGTAAAGGAAGGGAATAGGACAAACTAGTTTGTAAGGTCTTTTGCCAGAGTTAACATAGCCTATCCAGAGGTACAAAGGGTAGACCACTCAACTATTAGAACTAAAACATACATGTTGACAAAGATACTTAATTCATTACTTTATACTATGACAGTCTAAAGATGCTTTCCTTCTTTACTTACCTACACACAAAAACTTTGATATTTTATATCATTCAGTTCAAAGACATTCCTAAAGTCCTTTGTGACTTCATATTTGACCCATGGACTATTTTAAAATGTATTTATAAATGTTTAAACATATGGAAAATTTATCATTATGCCTGTTATTGATTTCAGATTCAATTGCATTATGAACAGAGACCATACTCTGTGATGATTTCAATTCATTGAAATCTGTTGAGACTTGTTTTACAACCCAGCATACGGTCAATTAGAATAAATGTTACATGTATATTTGAAAAAAAAAAAAACTAAAACATAATGATCATCTAGTACACTGTTCTCTGAGCATTTACCATCACTGTGACTTAAATCTATTTAGGGCAGTTCTATTGTGGCCACAGCATGACTTAATCTAAAGGTAAACTTAAGTGGCTTACGTGTTAGCTGTGACGTGAGCAAGATAATTGAGAGCTAACACTTAAAGTCAGCTATGTGCACTAAGAGATATTTATGTGGAATTGTTCTTGATTCTTCTCAGTTGAAAATGAGCTTCAAAATGAATTAAAATAGGAATAGCCATGTTTTATTTTGATAGGAAAAAGCAGAAGGGCCAGGCCCTTTTCTGATCTTAATCCTTCAAGCTCAATTCTATGGGTCATTATGTTTGTGGAAATCTTTTCTTCCTAGGTTCCACACTATACCTTCATGAGCTCCTAGAAGGCAGTGAAATCTATCTCCCAGAGGTTGTGAAGCCTCCTCGGGTATGTAAAAGATATATCTGTGAGAAGGGGTGTTGACTAAATTAGACTTATTCACAGTACATTCAGATTTATGAAACAGCCTTTGGGCTCAAAAGTTAGTCTTTTAAATCCTTGAGGGCTGGGGTGGGGAAACTGGATATCATCCTTCCGGCTTGACAGCTTGGAAAGTAGATCAAAAAAAACCAGGTTCCAAAGCAGGGGAGGCAGAACTAGTACATGGGTCTCTTGGCACCCTTAGCAGTGCTTTGCCCCCTAAAACCAACGATTGTGGCATTGGTTTTCTAGCAAGCTGGGAATATTCTTCTCCTTTGATTTTTCTGCCTCAGAACCCAGAACTAGTTGCCCGTTTGGAGAAGATTAAGATACAGCTGGCCAATGAGGAATATAAGCGGATCACATACAATGTCACCTGTCAGGTAAGGGCCTGTTCTTCAATACAAGGACTAAGTAGCCCCTACAAGCAGAGCCCTGCACTGGGAAGAGGTACAGAGGGAAAAAAATATCATAGAAGCTTGGTTTTTATACCCATCAGGGACCATAGAAGTTCTGTGCTGCATACAAACCTAATATTCCCACCTCATTTACTGAGACTCAGGGCTCAGGTGGTGACTGATTCTTAAAAGTTGTAGAGCTAGAGATAAGCCTTAGAGCCTTTCTTCTGACAGGGCTCCCTGTCATTCTGTGGCATGTTCCTGCCCTAGAGCAGAAGAGGAATAGGTGGGTACTGGGAACCTATGTCCTTTCTCCGAAATGTTTGATCTGTGATCCGCAAAAAAAATCCAGCTGGTCCCAGACAACAGAATCCATGGAGAAGGCAGAGTTAATGTTTTGGGAAATAAAGAGAGCAGAGCCCGGATTGACAAATGAATACTCTGGGCTGCCTCTGAGCTGCTTCCATTTGGAATCATTTGTGTTATCTTTTCCCCAGGATTCAAGGCATGGTGGGACTCTTAGTGACCTGGGAAAGCAAGGTGAAGTACTGGGAAATCACCCTGTAAGCCTCTCCCCTGGGAGGGGTTGGTCACAGCCCTTCTTCCCACCCCAGTGCCCTGGGTTTAAACCTGAGCTATTCAGGCTTGACATATGAGGGAAACCCAATTGATAGGGGAGGTAGCCCTGATATAAGAGGGCCTTGTGGAGGATGCTGACCTAAAGGTTTCTTCCTCGGCTTCTTCCCTGAAGTGAGGTCAGTGAAAGCGCTGGTCATCACCATCTTCAACTTTATTGTCACGGTGGCAGCTGCCTTCGTCTGCACTTACCTTGGAAGTCAATATATCTTCACAGAAATGGCCTCAGTAAGTAGGCACTGGGCAGGGCAAGGTGCCCCGGGTGGGAGTGTTGGTGGGAGAGGGAGGACATATGTGAAAGTGCCTTGAACAAGTTAGATGTTAAATATTTATGCAGCGAACAAGAGGAACATTTGAGCTGCCCAGCAGTCGTGGGTACCTCAAAAGAGAATCCAGATCCTCTTTTCTTCTCTTCCTCCCAACTTACGGGCTGGGTTTTCTTCCCTTCCCCATCCTTTCTAGAAGTACTGGAGGCTGCAGAGCTGGATGCTGGCCTGCATCCCCTAAGCCTGGTTCTCTCTCTCTCTCCCCAGCGAGTACTAGCTGCATTGATCGTGGCCTCCGTGGTGGGCCTGGCCGAGCTGTATGTCATGGTGCGGGCGATGGAAGGCGAGTTGGGAGAGCTTTAACTCGTGGTTCATTGTCAAAGTCTGGAGCAGGTTTTGGGGGACTTCAGGCTCCCAGCTGCCTGACTCAGAGTCAACCTATCAGGCTCTTTGTCCATAACTCCGGTTAGTCAGAGAGCTGTACCAAGGCTGTTCCTGCCGGAGCTCTGTCCTCTGTCAGTTTCCAGAGGGGCAGGAAAAGAGACTCAGACAACAAATGAAAAGAACTGCTCTTTCAGTTCCTTCTCCTGAACCCAGTGCCCATCTGCCTTCTCTAGTCCATCTCGGCACTGCCAAAGCTGGGTTTTTGTTTTTGTTTTTTTCTATCGGGAGTAAATGGAATCCAGGTCTTCCCAAAGTAGACCATACTGTCTTGAACCTCCCCAGGTACACAAATCAATGGTCATCCTTGCTCCAAAGATGCTTCACACAGACCTGTAATTTAGATCAGTAACCTCCAAAAAAGCAGAAAGGATTCCTTTTCTCTACTTTGTTTGGGAAGAGGAACTGATCACAGGTCATTAAATAAGAGGAGGACAAGTTGGTACAAGGATGGTGAAATTGGGAACTAAGCTGCCACATTTCCAGAATCTTAGTTTCGGTCTTCATCCTCTCCTGGCCTTTTTCAGATTTTCTATATGCTTTTACCTGTCTCTTCCACTCACCAACCCTCCTCAAACTTCTCACCTTTCCATCACCCTTTGCTCTGCCTCCAAAAATGAAAACAATTCAGATGGCAAAACAGTATGGTCTGCTTTTAATTGAAAATCTCTTGTGCTTGTATATGTTGGTGGGAAGAGTATCCCTACTGTGGATTATCTCAGCTGATAAAGGGAGATGTTCTTTGTAGATATGGACTGTTTCCAGATTTAACTGTATATGTGAATATGAATAAGCATACACATGAATATGTATATGTAACATTATAAATATGTGTACGTATTATCCGTTAGCCTGATGGGGAGGTTTTATGTAGGTTATTAAAATGTCTGAGTTTAGGGGAGTGCGAAAAATAGTTTGTTAAGTGTGCACAGCTGAGTAATTGCTTTATGTGATTACTTTTGGTCTTTGTATCGCTTCTCGGCCTTTTGGCTAAGATCAAGTGTACTTTTGGTCTTTGTAACAATCCTGGAGGTTGGAAAAGGAAATGGCTTTAGGCCCCTTTTCCCAAAGACAAAACTGAGGCTGAGAGAGATCAGATGATCTTTCCTTCTCTGTTCTGAAGTCTGAAATTCTGTGTAATGTTAAACTTCTAAGAACTTCAATTAGTAGGCATACTGATAGAATCTGTGTAAAGGTACTTAAAAACTATCAGCAATAGTTATTTATCCAATAAATATTTACTGTATCCCCTGTATTCTTATTTCAAATCTTGTGACAACACAGAAGCCCAAAGATTCCTCAGTTCTTTTTTTGTTTTTTTGTTTTTTTTTTTTAAGATTTAATTTATTTATTCATGAGAGACACACCGAGAGAGAGAAAGAGAGAGAGAGAGAGAGAGAGAGATATTGAGGCAGAGGGAGAAGCAGACTCCATTCAGGGAGCCCGATGTGGGACTCAGTCCCAGGACCCCAGGATCATGCCCTGAGCCAAAGGCAGACACTCAACTGTTGAGCCACCCAGGCGTCCCAAGATTCCTAAGTTCTGATAATTGTTCATTGTTTTTGTTTTTTTTAAGATTTTATTTATCCTTGAGGGACACAAAGAGAGAGGCAGAGACATAGGCAGAGGGAGAATCAGGCTCCATGCAGGGAGCCCCACGTGGGACTTGATCCCAGGACCCCAGGATCATGCCCTGAACTGAGCCACCCAGGCATCCCTCAGTGTCTGTTTGTAATGGTATACTCCTTTCCATTTGTTCACACTATGAAATCCTGTGGTCTTTGGTCTTCCTCCCCCACCCCCACCCCCACCCCCTCACCCCCAGGATACTCTTCTGTTTTTAGAAATTACATACTCATGGGACACCTGGGTAGCTCAGTTAGTTAAGCATCTGAATCATGATTTCAGTTCAGGTCATGATCTCATGGGTTGTGAAACTGAGCCCCAAATCAGGCGCCACATTCAGCAGGGAGTCTACTTGAGTCTCTCCCTCCCTCTCCCTCTGCCCTGGCCCTGCTCACTTTCTGTCTCTCTCTAAAACAAATAAATCGGGGGATCCCTGGGTGGCGCAGTGGTTTGGCGCCTGCCTTTGGCCCAGGGCGCGATCCTGGAGACCCGGGATCGAGTCCCACGTCGGGCTCCCGGTGCATGGAGCCTGCTTCTCCCTCTGCCTGTGTCTCTGCCTCTCTCTCTCTCACTGTGTGCCTGTCATAAATAAATAAAAATTTAAAAAATATATATTTAAAACAAATAAATCTTTTTAAAAAGAAAAAGAAATTACATGCTTGTTGGTTCAGTAGACATTTGTTCTAGTGTTTGTCAGTTTCTGCTTGATACATAACCAGCCTGAACTTCTCTAGACAGCACATGAGAGAGAGGAAAGCTTTCATTCCTTCTGTTCCACCATAGATCACTTTGTTGAGAAATCTTAGAATTTCTATTGTTGGTTGAAAGAAATGTCAACTGTAAGAAAAAGTGCAGGTGGCATTTTATAATGTCTGTAGCAACCCAGACCATTTAAGACCGAGTTTAAAAGCCACACTGAATTTTTGTGGAGATTCATGGCTATACTACTTGCTCCTATAGCCTTAAGCTTTCACACACCCCCAGATAACTGGATTAGAAGGTTGGAAGACTTGTAAATGTTAGATAAAGAGCAGGCCTCTCCAACAGCTTCTGACCCGGGGCATCCTCTCGCCTGACCCTAGAATGGGGTCCTTACCTGATCCCAAGCCTCTACTCACAAGCCAATGGGCTTCTGTGGCATTGAACACTTATTGAGAGCTCCTTTATGAGCCGAGTACTGTGCCAGCTTCTGGAGATCAAGAGGTAGAAGACCTAGTTCCTGCCAAGGAAATCTTTCCTGTGCAAAGTGTTTTCCATGTGCAGGGGCTAAGTTGGAGATAGCAATCAGGCTTTCTGTTCTCCGGTTCGTGTCGCAGAGAACTCTGCTCCCAGCCACTTCCTCTATCTCTCAATGCTCCATATTTTTTTCCAGCGCAGTCTGGGCCTGGGGCTTCCCAGGGCAAAAGGGGGATGCTTGGCAGGAGGCCAAAGGAACAAGAAGTTTGGGGCCTTCCCAGTCTCCTAGCCTATTGTATGGAGATGAAAGGCAACTCAGGTGAATTGAGAGCTTTTATAATATGTCACAGCACATGAAGCCTTTCATTTAATACTGCTTCTTATTCCCATAATGGAAAGAAGACAAGTATTATCACCCCCTTTTTGCAGGCTCATATGCTTTCAGAGAGTTGCAAGGTTACGTAGCAAAGCTAGGATCCGAATACCCTAGACTGGTTGCAAACTACATGCTTTTTGGAGCAGAGCAACTCCAGAAGTGGAGGCAGCTGGAGCGTCCTGGAACCAGTGGGAAGAAAGAGCAGAAGGTGCCAGCAGAGCCTCCCATCTCTCTAGGGCCCGTCAGCCAAAGCCCTAAGCCCTTCAATTAACCATCCTTCTAACTAATCCCAGTAGAATCCTGGGTAATGCCTCCCACCCAGGATCTGTGTGGAACCTGGCCCTATTTAGGGATTAGGTGATGGAGATACATTTCAAAAGCAAACGGCGGCTTGTCCTTATTCGTTTGCAGCACACAACAATCCAGATTAAGGTATAGAGTTTGGGTTTTATTTGGAGATTAGTTGGTAATACAGATGATGGTGATACAAAAACCCAATGTTGCCAGAGTGCATACCCCCACCCCCTGCTAAATCTGTCAGGTTGTCTCCACAGCCTCAGGTCAGAGGGCAACCAATATGATCTTTGTGAAAATTAAATGAACATAAGCCCCGGGCTCCTCTTTCTACTTTATTCCTTTGATAGGACTTCCTCGATTAATTTGTCCAGGTGGGAATAGTTCAGAAGAGGGGGGCTGGTTCCTAACAGTCTGGAATGAGTTTCAGTGCTCTCCTCACCTAGCTCAGCAGTTAGTTAGCCAATGGCCTGAAAGTGAGGAGGGGCTGCCTATTCTTTAGAGGAAGGAGGTATTGTCAGCTGGGGTAAGAAGAACTGGTGGCCAAGCCTGGCCTGAGAGATTGAAAACAGGGCCCTTACCTCATTTCTCTGAAGGTACCTTTTGCCACAGCAACGGGCAGGGCACTGGGTGCTAAAGCCCAGCCCTGGTGACTCTGGGCTGGCCTGGAAGACGGGAGGGATCCCTGAGCTAACCTTCCTTCCGATAAGAGAACTTCCTTGTGTAAAAGGAGGGGCAGGGGATCTATCTCTGATATGTTCAGTCCTAAGGGGCAGGGTGGGCTGCAGAGCCAGAGGAGTGGTCTCACAAGTTCTAGACTTAGATTAGGAGTGGTCCAGGTTGGTGACAATGGCCGAGGCATAGATGAGGTCCGATAAGCTGCCCAGTGAGGTCTGGGTAGTGGCTCGCTCTGAAGAAAGGTGGACCCCTGATGCTCCAGCTGGTCCCCATGGGGCTACAGCTTTAGCCCCTGCCCAGCCTTGCCCTGGACCCAAGCCAGGAGCTGGGCAGGAAGCTTGTCGACACATTGAGGCACACTGAGGCGTGTTGTTGGAGGGCGGATGCTGGCCTAGTGTTGGGGGCTCCCGGGACTGCTGGAGGGTATCTGGAAGAGAATGGGCTCTCTGGGTGTGTTCAGGCCTGGGGCTTAGGTCTCCTGCCTTCCTATTCTTGATTCTCTTGGCCCGGCGGTTCTGGAACCACACCTGATAAGGGAAAAAGGAATCTCTTTGGCCTCCAGCTTACCCTCCCCCGGCTACCAGGAAAGCAAAACCTGGAAGCAGGATACTCAGAGAAAGGGGGCTGAGCGAGAGTACCGCCACCCTGAGGGAAGCTCACCTGTATCTTGTCCTCAGGAAGGCAGGTGACCCGAGCCAGGTGCTCACGGGTGCCAATGTCAGGGTAGGGCCATGCTGCAAACACCCGTTCCAGCTCCAGCAGCTGCCCTCTGCTGAAGGTGGTCCGCTTTCTCCGGTGGGAACCCAGCCCACTGGCATGGCCTGTAGGCCAGAGTAGGGGGGTCAAGCCAGGACTCCCTGTGAGAGCCTCCATCCCAGACTCAAAACCCCCCAGCAGGCCCTGAAGCCCCTACTCCGCTTCCCCCACTTCAGCCTCCCCCCATCACACCTTCCCCATGTTCTCCCCCTGTCCCCACCAGATCACCTGTTGAGGGTGCATCCACAGGGCTGGCCATGAAGCTGGCAGAGAATGAGGAGCCAGAAGGCCATGCCAAGGCTGTGCCCACACCACACCCCTCCTCATGGGTTTTATCCTGCTCAGAGGGCTGGCCCCGCCTCCAGGAGGAGAGACGTTTCAGGTCCAGCTGGAGGGGAGCAGAGCCATCCCAGAGGAAAGGGGAGACCTGGGGCAATCTTGGGGCTTGGGTGGTATAAATGGGGCAAAACTTCCATGGCCCCTGCCCCTCCAGAGCTTCATAAAAGAAGCTGGCCTGAGTCCCCACTCCTTACACTGCAAACTGGCAGCCTGTGTCTGAAATCCTGTATTTTGTGAAGATCTTCCCCGGACTTGTTCCAGGAAGCCAAAACAATTCCTCTCTCGAATGCTCTCGTGCTTTACCTGCGCCTTCTGGAGCCCTTAGTGCCCTAGTGCTGGCTACCTGCAGGGGAGAACAGGCGGAGTCCTGTGCCACAGCTGAAGGGCAGGCTGGTGAAGCTGGGCAGGATAAGGATGGTGACAAGGGAATGGCAGGTGAACTGCAACCACCTTGCCCTCAGCAGGGCTGGGGAGCAGACATTACCACCAGCTTGGCCCCAGGTCGGCTTTAGAGATCTGTCTGCATCTTACCCTTCCTCCATGGCCCCTTGAAAGCCCATATGGGCTCCTTAGAGTCCACGATCCTAGAACCAGAAGAGGTTCCACAGGTACAATTGAGGTGTTCTAAGATTAGATGTTTGTACCGAATAGTCATCCTGTAAGTCTTCTGAGTCACTTTTCTAAGAAATGGGTACATATGAATTTCCTTTGAGTTCTTGTCCTTCCTTCTCATAACCTCAGTGCTCCACACCCCAGACCCAAGATGGAGGCCTCAAAGAAAGGCTCATCCTCGGGGTAGGTTTTGGGGAGCACACCAATTCCCTAGGCTAACCACACTGCAGGCTCAGGATGGGCAGAAAAGCTGAACTAAAACCCCACCCCCTCTGCCCCTTCTCTCTCCTCCAAGACCTTAGTCAAGTCCAAGAGGCGAAACAAGCCCAGGGCAGGGAGGGGCACTTGGTAGCAGCTCCTGTCATCATTAGTGGGGTTCAAGCTCCTGTTAATGTTGGTAGGTTGGTAGGGGCTGCTTAGCTCAAGAGGCAGGCTAGTACTCATGAGGCCCTCCCCAGCCCAAAGCTTTTCGGATTCACAGAGATGGCCTGAGCCCAACATGGACTGGACACAAGGATGCTCTCCTCCCCAAGACATCATGACAGCTCAGCCTCCCCTCCTTTTCCCAAGCAGATCCCTGTCTCCTGCCTGTCCATCCCAGTCAGGACAGTAGTCTTAAACTCAGGGGCATAGGATCTTTATTGGGCTGGGAGAGAGAGGTTGAGGAGGAAGCAGTGGAGGGATCAGCTGTGTAGGCTCAGATTCCTACTGGTGGCTGGGGGCTGAGCAGCCTAGCCAGTACTGGGCGATGGAGCGTGGGTAAGGAGGGCTCACAGCGTCCACTTGCCGTGTGCGAAGGTTGACTCGGTAGTACTTGTCTGGAAGAGAGGTCAGGAGAGGGTGTGTGAGGGCCAGCCTGGCCCTGCCCATTCCTGCCCTAAGAAAGAAGACCCAGGTCTCTCCTGGAAGGGTAGGTGAACATCCAAAATGCAGCTAAGGGCTCACATCCTGGCTTTCTGGAGTCACCACCCAAGGGCCATGTTCAGCCCATGAGGACCAGGGACAGGAGGGAAGACCAGCTAAACCAGCTACAGGGGATGGCAGAGGCTCCCACCTTCTGAGAAGAAGTAAACACTTTGGATGGGCTCACAGGTGGCCGGCACAAGCCAGTCCATGTCGTAGTCATCATAGTTGTAGGTGCCTAGGCCACTCTCCTCACTGGAGAACCAGGACAGCCAGGCTGAGCGGGATTGCCGCTGGGAGGTCCGGCTACGGCCTCGACCACGGTTACGGCGTGAACGGTAGCGTTTACGGTTGCGCCGCTTAGGATTCAGCTTCTTGACCCAGGATCGGGGTGCCGACCCTGAGATGTAGATGCGGCCAGCCATGGCCGCGTCCACCTGCCTAGGCAAACCAGGCCAGTCCTGGCTGATGAACCCAGGCTCTCCAGCACCACCTGTGGCAGGGAATGGGTTAATGAGAGTCTTGGGAACATGTAGAGTTCATCTGGTGCCCAGTGATGGGCTGTGCCTTGCCGAAGGACACAGCAAGCTCATGGCAGAGCACAGTGCCCAGGCCCTCTGACTCCCTCTTTGGTGCTCTTTCTCCTGGCCCTCCTTCACCTCATCCCTCCCCACTTGCCTCAGCCACAGCCCCTCCTCCTGCTAGCTGTGCCCTTGGCTGTGCTAGGCAAAGTCCGAGGTCTGGGATTGGATGGACCTCCCCCCAAAAGTCAACAGAAACAAAGTCTGGCCTGAGCAAACAGCTTTTGATCTGTAGCTCCACAATCACAGCCCCCTCTGGCCAGCTGTGCCCTGCCCCTACCTGGGGGATCCCAGTGGGAGAAAGTGAGATTTGCCCTCCTTCCATACCAGAGGGTCTGTTCCAGAAGAGAAGCTCAAAGAAGGTCTCCCAGCTGTCCCTCTGCAGCAGGGCAAAGTGTTCAAACACGGTGGACAGGGAGCTGCCTTCACACTCCTCCTGACTGGGCTGCTGCTGGAACTCATACTCCCAGTATTGTCTCCCTGAGCGGGGAAGTGGGATGAGGGAAGGCATGTGAGCAAGGCTGGAAAGGCAGCCCCAACCTGCTGAAGATAGGACTTCCTGGCAGGGGGTGAGCACAATTCCACTCTGCCCCTCCAGAAGTGTGCAGGCAAACCTAGACGGCCCCACTGCCTGCCTTTCTCTCACCCACTCCCTTCATACCCTTGAAGAAGTAGACCCGCTCCCGGCCACTGTAGCTGCGAGCAGGGAGAGCAAAGGCTGCGTCCACGTTGTCCGGAATGCCCTTGAAGCCTTCAGAGATGTTGTGGGGGTAATCTGGGTCCAGAACACCATCCTCGAAGCGCCAGTACTGACTACCCTAAGGGGCAGGGAAGGAGGAGGGAGTACGGAGGTGGCTGGCTGGGCACAGGCAGAGTGCCCCACCCAAGGCAGCAGTCCCAATTCTAGGCTTGTCACCTGGGGACCCGGAGCCTCGGGCTTCCCCATCCTCAAGAGGCCCAGCCAGGGCCCACAGGCCAGGATCCAGCCTTCTTGCCCACCCTAGTCCTGGGCACAGCAGCCCTCAAACCCTGCCTAGATACCCCTGACCCTGACCCACATCCCCTGGCCCTGGTACCTTGAAGAGATAGGTCTTCCCCTGACAGTTGATGCGGGTGAAGGCTGCATCAATGGGGCCCTCAATGCCCCAGACATCTCGGATAAGCTTGGGGTACCCAGGTCTCACTGCCTTTTCATCCAGCTCATAACAGTACTGCCCTAGAGTGCAGGAGGCTGTGTGAGGGAGGGGATGTTCCGGGGGCAGACCCTGACCCACCAAGACTTGCCCCTGGAATCACCTCGGAAGGCGAAGAGGGAGCCATTCTTGAGGTCAGTGAAGGCGTCAAAGGGTTTCCCACTACATAGCTCCTCCTCTGCTGCGGACTCAGAGATGTCTTGATCAGGGGCCTCAAACACTAAGGTCCCCTGCCCGGGTCCTGGAGCCTCTTCCTCAGGGATCGGAATAGGTACCTGGGCAGGACGCTTTTCAGAGTGGGCCTGCAGGCCAGGGCTCAGGGTGGTACTCTCCAGCTGTGTGAGGACGCTCTGTTCTCTGGTCCCCTCATGATAGTCAACGACCCCATACTCATCTTCTGGCAGAGCGAATACATCCCCGCGAGTCACTGCAGGCAGAGTGGGTGGTGGTGAGTCTCCAGCTGCAGAGGGGACCCCAGGCCCACCCAACCCTTCTGGACGCACCTTGGGGTTTGCACTCGACCACGTAGTCCTCGCAGCAGCTCTGGTAGTAAGAGCAGAGCTCGTCGCACTGACACTTCCTGTCAGCATTGAAGCCCTCTGTGCAGCGGCCCTTGCATGATTCTGTGGGGAGGAGGTGTCAGTTGGCATGGCCAAGCCCAGACCACCATTGCCCACCCTTCACTGGCCCAAATAGTCACCAGCGCCCTCTTGTACCTTGGTCAGCCAGAACAACCCATGCCAGCAGGGCTAGCACCAGCAGGGGCCTGGGGAATGCCATGGTAGGGCTGCTAGCTTCTAGCCCTGAACTGGGCTCTATGCAGTCTCCACTGTGATGCCTGAGGAAGGGAGGGAAGAGGTGGGGACAGGGAGGGAGGGAGCCAGAGAAGAGGAGCTGCCTTGTCTGCTGCTCTGTTTGCTCAATCTCTGGCCCAGCCCCCAGTACCCTGGACCCCAGAGGTTGCTGCTGCACTGCAAAGGGTCACATTCCTGGAACTCTGGGCCTGGGAGAACTGTGAACAGGATCCTTGCCAAGCTCAGTCTCATCCCAGGAGGGGAATAGCACAGCGGGTCTCAAGGACAGAAGGAAGGGCCACTGTGCCACTCACAGGCTATGTGACCATGGGCACACTGCTTTACCTGCCTTGGTTTTCTTTTTGGTAAGGAGAGACTAATAATACCTGCCTTGTGTCCTGTTTTGGGGGGGTGGGGGTGTTTACACAAGCTAAAACAGACAAAATGCCCGGTGCCTGGAATAGCGCCAACTTCATTCTCCATAAATGGTTATTTATCTGTGATCTGTTTGATCAGGCACATCGCCGACTGAGTGTCTCACCCACCCATTGTGTATTTAGGGTGGTAAAAGGGGGGTGAAGGAATGCTGGTGAGTACTCTGGGGGATTTTTTTTTTTTTTAATCATAAAAAAACAGATTTTCATGTTTAGGTTCTACTCTTGGGTGCATTGTTTTCCCCAAGCTGGGCCTCACAGAGCAGCAAATTGGATGAATGGTAACCGTTTGGACTGGATTTGATTCCTTAGTCTCTCGCTAATTCACTGCTCCTTGGCAGGCACTGCTCCCTGTCTCCACTTTCACTCTCCCTGTGGTAAAGAACAGCCTCCTTCTCCACACTTTTAGACTCTTGAAGATAAGCATCCCTCTTTCCAGAAAATACCCCTGGCACAGAAGGCCTGATTCTGCGCCCACTGTCAGGGGTCCATGGGCCTCCTGAAATCCTGCCACCACCCGGAAGAAAATGATTCTCAGAGTTTCCAACTGAGTTTTTCTGTTCCATAATCAGAGAAGGGTGTGTGACTTTGGGCAACGTCTTTTCTAGGAGCTTTAGTCAGTTCAGCTGTTAAATGGGAACACAAATACCGACCCTGTAGGCCTGTCATAAGGCTTGAGAAACAGGCACAAAGGGTCTGGAGAGCTGTGCCGCATCGTTATTAGGATCACTTTAACCACTGTTAGGGGAGGGGGCCCGCTCCACTGTGTTGCCTTCGCGTTGCAGTGTCACGGGGTTTGGGGGGGGCAGGGGAAGGAGGCGGTCGTCGGCTCGGCACCCTCCCCCGAGTGGCCACCCCACTGCCTCCCCCTCCCCCTCCCCTCCCTCCCTCTCCCCCGCCCCTAAGCAGCGCGTGGGCGTGGCTGAGGAAAGGCCTGGGGGCGAGGCCAGGCGGCGGCGGGGCGGGGCGGTCCCACGTGACCGAGAGGCGGGGTGTCAGCTCCCCGCTGCGGCTTCTCAGGGGCGGGGCTGCTGCAGATCCACACTGGGCCGGAGCCCGGCTTTGTTCTTCTCACTGGCGCCTGGGTCCACCCCTCGCAGCCCCCTCGCTCCTCCCGCCCACCCCCTGCCTCTGGGCCCGCTTCCCTGTACCCAAAAGCTCCGTCCGGGATCCTGTCCTCGCCCCTCCCCCAAACTTCTGGCCTGCGCCCCTGCCCGGTGGGTAGCCTTCTCTCCCTCCCTGCCTCCTGCACCGTCTTTTCCCTGGTCCTCTGTCCTGCCCCCCTTGCCCAAGTCCCGGGTCGCCCGCCCGGTCCCGCCCCCCGGACCCGGGATGTCCCCCGCAGCCCCGCGCCCATGGTCCTGACGCTGCTCCTTTCCGCCTACAAGCTGTGCCGCTTCTTCACCATGTCGGGCCCGCGGCCGGGCGCTGAGCGGCTAGCGGTGCCGGGGCCGGACGGGGGCGGCGGCGCGGGCCCGTGGTGGGCCGCGGGCGGCCGGGGGCCCCGCGAGGTGTCGCCCGGGGCGGCCGCTGAGGTGCAGGGCGCCCTGGAGCGCGCGATGCCGGAGCTGCAGCAGGCGCTGTCCGCGCTGAAGCAGGCGGGGGGCGCGCGGGCCGTGGGCGCCGGCCTGGCCGAGGTCTTCCAGCTGGTGGAGGAGGCCTGGCTGCTGCCGGCCGTGGGCCGGGAGGTAGCCCAGGGTCTGTGCGATGCCATCCGCCTGGACGGCGGCCTGGACCTGCTGCTGCGACTGCTGCAGGCGCCGGAGCTGGAGACGCGCGTGCAGGCCGCCCGCCTGCTGGAGCAGATCCTGGTGGCCGAGAACCGGTGAGGGTGCTCACGGGCTGAGGGGAGAGCGCGGGGTGCTGTGGGGGCAGCAGGGGCGGTCGACAGCCTGGGTCTCTCCTGCGACTCGCACTGTGCGTTTTCGCGCCTCACCTCCGCAAATCCCAAATCCCTGTACTACACCCCTGTTGGGGATCAGCGTGTCCATTTTACAAGTGAGGAAAACAAGGCTTGGGAAAGTTTCATGACTTGCCCAGAGTCACAACACAGTAGAACTGGTGGTGCAGCCAGGATTCACTCCCAGAACTGGGGGGGTAAGTAATTAGACAGGGGGAGGAAGAATGTAGCAGGACAGGAATTTGTCCCTGGTTATGAGGATGGACCCGGGATCCTACTGCCAATGGCCCCTAAACCCACAGACCACCTCCGCACAGGCCTGGGTGCCCTTCCAAGCTACCTTTTCTCTGCCACTGAGAAAGGAAGAGAACACAATGCTTAGGAAATGGGACAGGAGGAGGGGCAATGATCACTGAAATGAGTGCTGACCTGAGGGTTACTTGCCCCCTTTGTGTCACCCTCAATCCACCTCCTGCTTCCTCCGCCTTCATTTTGGCCCAGGTTACAGGCCAGACATGATCTCATTCTGCGGCTACTAATGGGGAATGGAAGGTTTTCAGTGGGATGAATGGGTGAGAGAAGAGGAATCAGGTGAGGACCTAGGCAGGAGCCAGAGTATGTGTTCTCTGTCCCTTCCCCACATAGTGCCAAGATGGAGTAAGGGGGTGGGGTCCAACTGGGGCCTGGCTGCCCCTCTCTTGCCTGCCTTTTGAGATCTCCCCTGAAATATGAGGACCCTTGCCTTCACTTTCTCTCATCTCCGATGCCAGAGCACACCAAACTCTCACAAGTCTCGTGCTGAATTCTCTGGCCCCTTAGGTTTAGAAGGGTTTGGGAAGGGTCACTTTCAATTCATGCTTCTCTCACAAGTATGGGCATGGGTGAGGGATGCTTTTCTTGCCATTTTCAAATATTAAAAAATAGCCTTGTGGGTGGTGGAAATGATACAACTGTCAAAAATGCATGAATGAGGCCATTTAAATTCGGAGAGCAAGTTAGGGTTCTGCTTGCCCAGCAAGTCATTTATCTCCCATCTAACATCAATCATCAGACATTTGCAGGGCTGGCAAACAGAGTGGGCCCTCACTGGAAGCAGTGGGCACAGGGTGGCGGTGAACTCTGTAGGCCTGGTATGTAGGGTGTGGCAGTTAGTTAGAGTGCTTGGAGAAGGGGTGTAGCCAACACCCCTGGAAGAGGAGGGCTGCAGGTTGCAAACCGCACTGATATTTTTCAAGGTTGAAAATAACAATACTCAGCTGATTTAGAATTACTGAGGAAAGAGTCACAGTAACAATTGTCCCTGGCCTCATGAAACAACGTGCTGGCGCTGACAGCACTTCAGGACCAAGGACAGAGCCCAGCAAGGCCCGTGGCCATCAAAATTTTTCTAAAGGCACAGGCCGAGGCTGGAAGGGAGAGAAGGGAGGTCACACATTGAGAATTCGTGTTTATGAAATCTTGCCCTTCCTTCATCAGCCAATCTCATCTTAAAGAAAGTTCCTCCTCCGTGCACCCACTCCTTTTCCCATTTCCTTCCTCCCAGGGTGCTACTACACCCTCTACCCAGGAGCCTAGGTCACAGCATCCCTCGCCCCCAAATGCCAAGAGAAGTCCAACAGGGTAGGACCCTTGAACTTGGTCTCGTGACACCCAGTGAGGGCCCCATGTAACTGCTAGCGTTTGAAATTTACAGCCCAGTACCATCAGGAGACCATAATTAGGTTAAATGGTTTAACTCAGATTAAATGGCTTTCCCAAAAATACACAGTGAATAAGTGGAGGAAACATATTAAAAACAAACACCGGAAAGCTATTGCATGTAAATTCAAAACGTGCAAAGGTACAAAAAAAGATACACACTTAAGAATTGTTTTTTCCTACCCAGACCCCCTCCCCAGATGCAAACCAGCAAAACAAGTTTCTTGCACAGTGTGTCCTTCCAGAGAAATTCTATGCATACAAGGATTTTACACATAAATGTGTAATATATATATATATATATATATATATATATATATATATATTTGTGTGTATAATTTCCCCTCTCCTTCAGAGCTGGGATTTGAACCTAGATTCATAGCCTCTGAGACTGCAGAACCTGGGAGCTGAGTTTATAGCTCTCAAAACAAGCACACAGTTCAATTTCTGTGAATGTGCCAAGTACATAGGGAAAGGGGATGGCTGGGGGTGAAGAGACTTAGAATAAGTCCTCTTAAAAAACAAAAACAGGGGCACCTGGATGGCTCAGCTGGTTAAGTGTCTGCCTTTGGCTCAGATTGTGATCCCAGGGTTGTAGGACTGAGTCCCACATCAGGTTCCCTTGCAGGGAGCCTGCTTCTCCCTCTGCCCATGTCTCTACCTCTCTCTGTGTGTCTCTCATGAATAAATAAGAATTTTAAAATCTTAAAAACAAAACAAATAAATACAGACAGGTGCAGGTTCAGACTCCAGCTATGCCTCCCACCAGCCGTGTAACTCTGAGCACGTCGTGTAACCTCTCTGAGCTTTGGCTTTCTCATTGGTAAAAGAAACAAGTGAGTGATTAGAACCCGTCTGTTCTTTTGGGAATGACTTTGGGGAAGCTCAGTGACCGGCTCAGGCAAAGTTGTACCATGTTATGGGGTCAGCTGGGACCTGCAGTAGACACAAAATCACAAGCACTGTGGTCACTGTGATGCTCACTGGGCAGGGACTCCATGACTGGCTGAGTCTCTTAACTCTTTGGGAGTAATGTTAGCTATGGAGGACATCATTTGTGGAGGTCAGGAAGACAGAAAACTTTCACCTCTGCCTGAAATGAGGCAATTCTCCTGCCTGCTCTGCTGGCATCCAGGCTCCCTCCCTTGGACCTTTCCTCCCTATAGCAGTCAGAGTGTTTCCTAAAACCCTTTCAAGAGCAGGTCACTCCCCTTCCTGAAGCCTTTCAATGGCTCCCCATTTGCCATCAAGATAAAGTACAGCTGTCTGGAGAGGGCTCAGAAGGCCCCTGGGACCCTTTCCATACTCTCCCCTTGAACCTCCACCTCAGCTCATACTCTCCACCTCTCCACCTCCACCTAGAAATGGCTTCATTTCAGCATGGCTAAGGTGGGGACAGGTCCCCAAGTGCAACCAGCTCTCAGATATCTCCAAACCTTTGCATACATCTGTGCCTAGAATACAATCTCCACAATCTCCCCTTCTCCTCTTCATTAATGTCCCATCATCTGTCCAAATTAATGCCATAGGCACCCTTTCAATATAATTAATGTGTATTTTCCTATATCTGTGTCCTGGTAAAATCTTTATTCTTATTTTGTGTGTATGTATTTTTAATTCACACAAATGGTGCTGTGTTATATAGTACATTCCAGTTCATACTTTCACCCACTCAGATTTACGTGTTTAAGATTCTGCCTGTGCTATGATATCATCTGTTCAGTCACTTGTAACTGTTCCATAGTCCTCCAGAGTGGGTGCTTGCCCATGTTACCTCTCCACTCTCCCAGGCTCGACAGCAGCCTGCCACCATCTTCCCCCACCACCAACAACCCTGCAGTGAACAGCCTTTTCCACATCCTTTTGTGGATCTGTGACAATTTTGTTGGGATGCAGACTCAAAAGCCCCAGTTTCTGGCTCATAGGGTCCATATCTCTTTAACTTTACCCACACATCCCAGTCTCCTTTCCAAATTGACTACCCCAGGCATGTACCCTCCACCCACAGAGCTTCGGGGTGTTCATGGCCCCACACCTCGCCAACCTTCTTTTTTTCTTTTTAAGATTTTATTTATTTATTCATGAGAGGCACACAGAGAGAGGCAGAGACATAGGCAGAGAGAGAAGCGGGATCCTTGCAGTCCAATGCAAGACTCAATCCCAGGACCCAGGATCACACCCTGAGCCAAAGGCAGATGTTCAGCCACTGAGCCACCCAGGTGTCCCACCTTGCCAACCTTCTATGTTACCCAGATTCTGCTTTTTGCCTATCCAATAGTTGTAAAGTGATAGCTGATTTAATTCTCACTTCTCCGATTACTGATGAGTTAGAGCATCTCTTTATTTAACATTTTCGATTTCCTCTTTTGTAAATTGCCATTTATATCCTTTGCCATTCCCTATTGAATTTGCTGCCTTTTTCTTGTTGATTTGAATATGTATACGTTCTATATATGAATCCTTGTTGATTTTTATATTTTTCTTCGTTGGTTTTAAACATTGCAAATATCTCTGGCTGGCTGTCCATTCCTCAAACATGGCAAGCTCACCAGCCCTCAGGGCTTTTGTTCTTGCTGTTTGTTCTGCCTTTTATGCTCTCCTCCCAGACACTTGTAGGCAGGAGTCTCTTGATATTGAACTCTCAGATGTTACCTCCTCCTCCACCCAGGCACTGTCCATTACATCACCTGGGTTTGCTAGCATTATAGCCATATCACTCTTGTTCTGTTCACTCGTTCACATGCTTATCGTCTCCACATTAGCTGTGTATACGTTCAGGCACCCATACTCACTGTTCAGCTTCAGCCCCCAGCACAGTGTCTGGCACGCAGTAGTTCCTCAATAAAAATCTGTTGAATGAATAAACCCCAATCACACAGCATGGACTGAAGAGAGGTTTGAGGGCAAGGCTAAGAGTGGTGTACTTCAAAGTGACACTTCAAAGTGATACTTCAAATGATGAAAAGAAGTTAACATTTAGTGAGTCTTCCCCATGTGCCAGGCACTGTGGGGAACACTTTACATGGATTATCCTGTTCTTTCTCATAATGACCCTACGGGGGTAGGTATTCCTTTTATTTATGAGATGCAGAACTGAGGTAGAAAAATAAAGGAAGGCATTCAAGGTCCTACAGTTTCTAGAAAAAAGCCAGGACCCAGGGGATCTTCTCCAGAGTTAGGATTCTTAACCACAACACACACTGTGGGGAGGAGGCAGCGATAAGGGAGGAAACAGGTGTTTTCAGGTTGGAGCATCCTTATAATCGAGAAATCTGGTCCTTCCAGAAGGAGGATAATGCTCTCTCCAGCATGTCCTATATGACACTAGTGAGGCCAGAGAGGTTAAATGACCAGGGGCGGGGGTGTGAGCCAACTTCCCGAGGACACCGCCACTGCATCGTCCCTGCCCCATTTTCTTTCTGCAGGGACCGCGTGGCGCGCATCGGGTTGGGAGTGATCCTGAACTTGGCAAAAGAGCGCGAGCCGGTGGAGCTGGCGCGGAGCGTTGCAGGCATCTTGGAGCACATGTTCAAGCACTCGGAGGAGACGTGCCAGCGGCTGGTGTCGGCCGGAGGCCTGGACGCGGTGCTGTATTGGTGCCGCCGCACGGACCCCGCGCTGCTCCGCCACTGCGCGCTGGCGCTGGGCAACTGCGCGCTGCACGGGGGCCAGGCGGCGCAGCGGCGCATGGTGGAGAAGCGCGCCGCAGAGTGGCTCTTCCCGCTCGCCTTCTCCAAAGAGGACGAGCTGCTGCGGCTGCACGCCTGCCTGGCGGTGGCGGTGCTGGCAACCAACAAGGAGGTGGAGCGCGAGGTGGAGCGCTCGGGCACGCTGGCGCTTGTGGAGCCGCTCGTGGCCTCCCTGGACCCCGGCCGCTTTGCTCGCTGCCTGGTGGATGCCAGTGACACCAGGCAGGGCCGCGGGCCCGACGACCTGCAGCGCCTCGTGCCGCTACTCGACTCGTCCCGCATGGAGGCGCAGTGTATCGGGGCTTTCTATCTCTGTGCTGAGGTTGCCATCAAGAGCTTGCAGGGCAAGACCAAGGTGGGTGTGCGGTCGGGCGGGGACGGGGACGGAGGGGGGGGGGGGTTAGAGAGCGTCTGGGAAGGCTTCCCAGAGGAAGTGGCATTCAACTGGGACTTGAAGTATACATAAGGGTTAGGTGAAGTACGGAGAAGGATGAGAGACCAGTCACTGACCTTGAGGGCAAGACCAAGGGTTTTAAGCAGGGAACACGAGTTTTACAAAGATTGCCGTGGCTACCACGTGGAGATGGAATTAGCAAGGGTGACGGTGGAGGCAAGGGGGCCAGATAGGAGGCCACGACAGGGGGACAGTTGGGAAGGTGGGCTGGAGCATGACAGCTGAAGAAGAGAAAAGCAGATGGATCCTAGGGGTGTTGAACAAACAGAATTAGGATTTGGTGGGTGGTTGGATGAAGAAAAGGGAAGAGCTGGGCAGCCCAGGTGGCTCAGCGGTTTAGTGCCACCTTCAGCCCAGGGCATGATCCTGGAGACCAGGGATCGAGTCCCATGTTGGGCTCCCTGCATGGAGCCTGCTTCTCCCTCTGCCTGTGTCTCTGCCTCTTTCCCTCTCTGTGTCTCTCATGAATAAACAAAATCTTAAAAAAAAAAAAAAAAGAGAGAGAGAAAGACTTCAGCTTAACATTTAGTGGACATTGCATTATCAACTAACAACAGTGGCATTTAGAGTACAAGGCCTAATTGGAGGTATGAGCCAAGCTGTGGGTAAATCAAACCAGGCTGCATGGAGGGGTTGCTAATCAACTTGGATTCCACTGGATGGCTAGGATTCCCACAAGCAGGCTGGTGAACTAAAGGTCTGGGAACACCATGACTGGGCCCAGAGGTAAGAGAGCCTTGGTGGGTGGGTGTCAGCCAAGTGCGGGCTGGAGAAAGGGGGGGGTGAGCTGAGAATGGTGGGCAGGGGGTGCACTGTGCCAGGCCAGGCTCAGAGTTCATCCTAGGGAGATGGAAGCTGTTAGAGGCAGGCACGAGGTGCAGAGTTGAGAGTTTCAGGAGGGGAATTCGCAGAGCTACCTGACTTACTGGATGACGGCAGGGCTAAGGCTGATGATAGGAGTTTCCGCGCTGAGAAGAGGCGGGGGGAGGGACTGGGCACGTTTGGGGATGGCTGGTGAGCTGGTGGCCCCGAGACACCCTCTCTCCGCCCCTCCCTAGGTATTCAGCGACATCGGAGCCATCCAGAGCCTGAAACGCCTGGTTTCCTACTCCACCAATGGCACCACGTCGGCGCTGGCCAAGCGCGCGCTGCGCCTGCTGGGCGAGGAGGTGCCGCGGCCCATCCTGCCCTGCGTGGCCAGCTGGAAGGAGGCCGAGGTCCAGACGTGGCTCCAGCAGATCGGCTTCTCCCACTACTGCGAGAGCTTCCGGGTAAAGCTGCGCGTCCTGGGGGCGTGCGGCTGCTAGGGCCGCCCTGCGCAAGACAACAGCGCCCCCTTGCGGCCCCCACGCCCGCGGCGCCGCGGGTGGTTTGGGGGATGGGAGCCTGGCCTCAGCCGCTTTCTGGGTCACTGGGCTCTAACCTGGGTCCCATCGCCATCTCCAGTTCCCTTCCCTTGCACCTTATGCTTCGGGTCCAAGGGCTGAAGAGGAGAGCCCTTCCTCACATCCGACCCCTCCCCCAGGAGCAGCAGGTAGATGGTGACCTGCTTCTGCGGCTCACGGAGGAGGAGCTCCAGACCGACCTGGGCATGAAATCAGGCATCACCCGCAAAAGGTAAGGAGCCTCCTGCCCGCCAGCCCTGGCCCTCTGCCACTGGTCAGTCCCAGGTCGGGACCTCAGCGTCCTTCTTTCCCCCCGTGGTAGATTCTTTAGGGAGCTCACGGAGCTCAAGACCTTCGCCAGCTACGCCACGTGCGACCGCAGCAACCTGGCTGACTGGCTGGGCAGCCTGGACCCGCGCTTCCGCCAGTATACGTACGGCCTGGTCAGCTGCGGCCTGGACCGCTCCCTGCTGCACCGCGTGTCCGAGCAGCAGCTGCTGGAGGACTGCGGCATCCGCCTGGGCGTGCACCGCGCCCGCATCCTCACGGCCGCCAGAGGTCAGCCTGCCCAGCCGGGACCCCACCCCTAGTCTAGCCCCAGCCCTGGGGGGACTTCCGAGCCTCCCTGCGGTCGGTTTGAGCACAGACGCTGTGCCAGACTGGATTCTGAGGATGCAAAGATGAATATGTTACCCTCAAGAAGTTCCCAGTCTGAGCTGAGGAGGAGGGTGGAAGTGAGGCAGGTCCATGAACACGTAGGTGACCACGGCAGGAGGCACCCCCAGGATTCCAGTGCGAGCTGACAGGAAGCACAGCTTCCCTGTCACCCAGGTCTGGGCATTTACAGGATGCCCAACCAGGTCTTGAAGGATGTATTGGGGAGGGGCGTGCAGCAGGAAGAGCAACCAGACAAAAGGAGCAGTAAGTATATGCAGATGTGGAGGTGAGGCAGCAAGGAGGGGATAGGGGTGGGAAGACACCTAGGGGTGGGGGGCTTGTGCGATTAGCCAGCAGCTTACAAAGTATGGATTCTGGAAGTGCTTTAGGGAGGTCACCAGGGTGGAATGGATTCTAGGGCTCTAGCAACCATTTTTATTTACTAACTTATTTTAATTTGCTAATTTACTATTTAGCTAATATTTGTCATCAATTACTATATGCATTAAGTTTTAAACATTATCTCATTAATATTTATATCCATTCTATGCAGTGGGTGTTAATTTTTTAAATCAACTTTAAATTTATTTTATTATTTTATTATTTATTTATTTTGAGACAGGTGAGAGCAAACGAGAAAGGAGGGGCAGAGAGAGAGAGAGAGAAATTTAAGCAGCCTCCATATCCATCCTGGAGTTTGACTCAGGGCTCACTCAGTCTCATGACTCTGAGATCATGTCCTGAACAGAAATCAAGAGCTGGACACTTAACTGAGCCACCCAGGCACCCCTCTATACTTATACTCTACTTTTTGAAAATGTTTAAGTAATAAAAGAGGTATAACTTAACTTAAAAGTGTCTGATATGAAGAGTTTTGAAAAAACGCATACATTTGTAACTACCATCATAATCCCAGATAAAGAATATTTCCATCAAGGGTGTTAATATTAAGCATGATGAAACTAAGTTTTAAGAATTTAAATACATTTCCCAAAGTTATGCCTTGGGAGATCCCAAATAAATATCCCAAATCCATTAAATAACAGAACTGGGATTTGAAACTCTGTCTTCCTGCTTCATAAATAGACAAATGCTATCTGTGAGTGTTAAGTCTGAAGATTATATGAGGATGGTCTTTTCATTCATCCATTCATTCAACAAGTTCAAAGCAGATCAGCTTTTATTATTTTCACATTGCAGCTCCCAATAAAACCTCAGTATTTCATTTTTTAAAATCAGGGAGGAAAAAAAATAAAAAATAAATAAAATCAGGGAGGTCCTGGGGCACCTGGGTGGCTCAATTGGTTAAGTGTCTAACTCTTGGTTTTGCCACAGGTCGTGATCTCGCAGGCCTGAGTTTGAGCCCCGTGTTGGGCTTTGCGCTCAGCTCAGAGTCTGCTTCAGATTCTCTCTCCATCCTGCTCACTCTCTTTCTCTCTCTCAAATAAATAAAATTAAATAAATAAATAAATAAATAAATAAATAAATAAATAAATAAATAAATAAATGAAAACCAGGGAGGTCTTACTGCAAAAAGAGCTTACAAATCCCTTGTATAGGAAGTAGAGGGAGCCATGTACATTTTTAAAGTGGAAACAGGGATCCACTGAGACTTGGATTTTAGAAAGACCCCTCTGGTTGCTGTGCAAACAGATTGGACTGGGCAAGTATGGATTTGGGGAGATCACGGAGAAGGCTGAGTCGGGGGTCTGGACATAGGGAGGGTCCTGGGGCTGGAGTTCAGAATGCTTAGTCGGAAGAATCCAGAGCATGGAGTCAGGTGTCGTGAAGGTCTGTCTGTCTGTTCTTTTCACTGCTATATCCCAAGCACAAAGGATAGTGCCTGGCACACGGTAAATACTTTGTAAATATTTGTTGAATGGATGAATGGATGAATGAAAGGTAGGGGTTTAGGACAATATCCAGGTTCCAACTGTGGTAGGAACTGGGAAGGAAGGGGCCAAGGGAGGATTTGGGATATGTTGGGTTTATAGTGTCCCCATACAGGTTTGGAGCTCTGGAGAGAGGGCTGGAGGTGCAGATACATGTCCCTAAAACACAATGCCTGCCTCCTGAAAGGGACCCACCAATAGTAGGCAGTCTTCCTGTAGGCCCAGTTCTTTATCTCAATGACCCTATTTCAAACAAGCCACCCTGCCTGGGCTGGGCTGGGCTAAGAAGGCTGAGTGGGCAGAGAATGATGTACCTGAGGGTGAGTGATGAGGAGGGGTGACCCTTACCACACTGTCACCTTCTGCTTCAGAAATGCTACACTCTCCGCTGCCCTGCACTGGCTGTAAGCCCAGTGGGGACATCCCAGATGTCTTCATCAGCTACCGCCGGAACTCGGGTTCCCAGCTGGCCAGGTAAGAAGGGACAGGCAGGCGGGCAGCCTGGGAGCTCGGGGCCAGGCCAGGGCAGTGACACAGGACCTCTTCTCAGCCTCCTAAAGGTACACCTGCAACTGCACGGCTTCAGTGTCTTCATTGATGTGGAGAAGCTGGAAGCAGGCAAGTTCGAGGACAAACTCATCCAGAGTGTCATGGGTGCCCGCAACTTCGTGCTGGTACTGTCAGCTGGGGCACTGGACAAATGCAAGCAGGACCATGACTGCAAGGACTGGGTGCACAAGGTAGGTGCTGGCCTCTGTGGTCCCATTCCTCCTCATCTGCACTCCCCAGCAACCTGGGCAGGAGCCACAGCTCGGACTGTAATTGGTCTTTAGTGGGTCAGTAAGGCTCTCACGATTCTCATTCAGAAAATGGGGATAACTTGCCTGTCTTATTCACCTTGTGGGATTGTTGTGAGGGCTCAAGAAGGAGGAAAATGTTTTGACAAATAACCTCTGTGGGGGAAGAGGGACAAGAGAGCCTAGTGACCGGCACAGTAGAATCACAAAGGATGCAAAGCTGTGAGATTGAATCCCAGCTCTGGTCTTAGGTAAGTTATGCAATCAAGACGAGCTTCATGTTTGTTACTGTGAAGTGGGACGCCTATTGTCCCTAACCTCCTAGGATGTTGTTACAAAAATTAAAAAGAGCTGAAATTTGTCAAGTCCTTAGCAGAATGCCTAGTTCTGTAGTAATTGCTCTATAATGGCAGCAATTTTATTGGAATTATTATGAGTGCTTACCACTGTTTAATTAATGCCATTGGATCTTCAGTGCCTGGCACACAGTAGAAACTTACCAAATACTCGTAGAATGGACAGACGGATGGATGGATGGATCCATATCACATCTACAGTTTATTAATTATTAGTGAGTAGGGGTTGAGCTGAGGGATACAACAGTCATCTAAGATGGAGCCTTTGTCCCGAAGGAGCTAAGGAGACAAGAATAGGCCCAGAAAGGCTAGATCATATATGCATTGGTGTCAATGCTGAGCTAGGTAGGTAAAGATCTTACTTGCCATAGGAGTACGGAGAAGGGAGAAAATATTCAGGGCTGGAATAACCAGGGAAGGCTTCATGAAGGAGGCAGAACATGAGAAGATTCTTAAGAATTTAGGTAAGTGGAAGAGAAGGCATTCCAGGCAGGGCAACTGCATGAGCAAAGAACAAAGTGGGGATGAGGAAGGTGCATCATTAGTAATTTCTTTTAGATGAAAAAACTGAGGCTCAGAGACGTAGAACACTTTTTCCCATGGCCACGCTGGCGTAGAAATCAGAAAAGCTAGGCTCTGAACTCCATCTTTCTGATTCCAAAGCCCATGCTCTTTCCCAGCACCTGACCGCGTTCCATGGCACAGATCTGAGGGACTTTGAGGGTATGTGGGAGGATAGGATTCAGCTAACACCAGAAATGATCATCTGCATCTCTTCCCACCTCCACGTTTAATGATGTCATGTTGGTAGCTTGAAATCAGCCCTGGTGGGAGTATTTACACAAAGGAAATTGGTAAATACTACAAATTAGGGTTTTATTTGTTTGGTTGTGTCTCTCCCCCCTGCCCCGCCCCTGAGGGTTATTTGTTAAACATTTGCCAGCATACCACTGGCTGGATAAGAACTATGGAACCAGGGGTGCCTGGGTGGTTCAGTCATGTAAGCATCTGACTTGATTTCGGCTCAGGTCGTGATCTCAGAGTTGTGAGACGGAGCCCCAAGTCAGGCTCTGCACTGAATATGGAGCCTGCTTAAGATTCTCTCCCTTGGGGATCCCTGGGTGGCTCAGCGGTTTGGCACCTGCCTTTGGCCCAGGGCACAATCCTGGAGTCCCGGGATCAAGTCCCGCATCGGGCTCCTGGCATGGAGCCTGTTTCTCCCTCTGCCTGTGTCTCTGCCTCTCTCTCTCTCTCTGTGTCTATCATGAATAAAAAAACAAATCTTTTTTTTTTAAACAAATCTTTAAAAAAATAAAAAAGATTCTCTCCCTCTTCCTCTGCCCCTCCTTCCCACTCTCTCCCTTTCTAAAAAAAAAAAAAGAAAAGAAAAGAAAAAGAAAAGGCAAAAACCAAAAAAACTATAGAACCAGTTTGCAGAGTGTCTAAAAGCTGGGAGAACACTTGTGTTTAAAGCCCTGGGAAGGGATCCCTGGGTGGCGCACCGGTTTGGCGCCTGCCTTTGGCCCAGGGCGCGATCCTGGAGACCCGGGATCGAATCCCACATCGGGCTACCGGTGCATGGAGCCTGCTTCTCCCTCTGCCTGTGTCTCTGCCTCCCTCTCTCTCTCTCTCTCTGTGACTATCATAAATAAATAAAAAATTTTAAAAAAATAAAAATAAAAATAAAGCCCTGGGAAAAGGGATCCCGCAAGGGCAGTGAGGCCAGGCCAGCAGGTGTAGGGAGAAAGTTCTGACACCAGAGTGCATCCATCCTGACAGTGGGGAGGAGGATCAGGCCCTGGAAGCCATGTTTTTAGGGACTGAGTACTGGGCTTGGTTGGTGTTGGGCCAAAGAAACATCTGAAGGATCATGGTTGGTGGCTCAGAGCAGGTGGCAGGATAAACAGAGGGGTATCTGAGCTCCATATGAGATCAGACCTTGCTGTGTTCACTCTGTATCCCTGATGGCTACAACCATGCATGGCAGGAAGTAGGCTCTTGAAGAGTTTATGGAATACTTAAACCATGATCAGTCAAACAGATGAAGCTGAGATAACTGGGGAAACCATACGTGTCCACCAGGTTTACCAGGTCAGAACACTTGACTGCAATCAAGTGTTTGTTCTTAACCTGCAGGATGACCTTGAATAAGCCATTCTTCCTCTCTTGGCCAGACTCTGAATCTGTGCAATGAGCAGTGTGCTGTCTTTGGTTCTGTGTAATTCTGGGTAAGACAAATGTCTAAAGGCTCTCAGATAAATTTCTGCAGGGTCAGAATTCACACCAGTTCCCAGCAGAGAGGCAGAGGGTGTGGTTGAAAGAGCCCTGGACTTGGAATCTGAAGGCATGATTCAGAAACCTGGCCCCTCCTGGGCTGGGCATTTGTGTGACCTGGTGGCAAGCCCCTTCCCCTCTCTGGGGTTCCTTCTTCTCATTCGTAAAATGAGAGGTTCCCTAAAAGCTAATCAAGATTGAAGTTATACAGGTTCTTTCCCCAGTAAGGCTCTGCTCCACATGGGTGCTTGATACCCATCCCTGTCCCAGTGTACTGCATCGAGGCAGGAGGCAGGCGGGGTGGCAAGAACCTTGCCTTGGACCAGTCCCAGAGGCTCCATCAGCCTTCCTTGGATGGTGTTAGTGCTTAATTGCCTCTGGTTTTAAAACTCCTTTCCCTGAAGCCACATTTAGTGGGTAATCAATATGGGAAACCACAAGTGAACTGCACTCAAGAAAGTCCAATCCCTGAGGCTTTTTTCCTCTTTGAAGGAAAAAACATTCAATAGGCACTTACCAGAGCACCCATTAATAGTAAGTAATATCGTCAGAACAACCTTGTAAGCGAGGTTTATTATCCCCATTTACAGAGGAGGAAATAATAACACCTATTAGTTATTATTAAGCACACACTACATGCTGGGCACTGCTCTAACCACTTGCCACAGGACATAGCAGGTATCTCCCCAGCAGAAGAGAAAACAGAGGCTGTGAGGGCCTGTTTGCCTCAGGCCACAAAACCTATGTCAGAGTTGATGTGAACCCCAATCTCCTGATTCTAGAGTGCAGCCCCTAACTGCTATGCTATATTTTCTTTCTCATTTATTCATCCACCCATCCATCCATCCGTTCATTCATTCCAACCATCCAGCCATGCATTCAGTATTTGGCAAGGACTATGGGCAAGGCTTTGTGAAAGATGCTGAGATACAAGATAGGTAAAAACCAGACATGATCCCTTATGTCTGGTGAAGACAGATATTAAGTAAATTGTTCATTGCTTAAGTTTGCCACTGTAGCATGTGCTGAAGAGTTTATGAGAGCCTATAATAGGGAGATCGTGCCTGGTCAGAGAAGGGAGGAGAGACGTCCTGGGAAAGTATGGCTTAAGCTCCAATTAGAAAAATGAGTAGGCATTAGTTAGGTGAGGAGGCAGGGAAAAGAGCATGTGCAAAGGGCTTGTGTAGGGAAGGAGGATGGCAAATCTAGGGCTGAAAGGTCTGTGATCCGGAGAACAGTGCAGGGGTGGAGTGTAGGAAAGGAGTTGTGGCCAACCACACAGAGCCTTCAAACCACAATAAGGAGTTTTAATTTTATTCTAAGAGCCATGTAAAGTCTTGAAGAGTTTTAAGTAGGGGGTGACATGATCAGATTTGCATTTTATATGGAACAGCCAGGTGAAGGGGCAATGTGGAGAACAAGTTAGAGGGAGCACAATGGAGGAGAGACCTGGTAGTAACAAAGATGGAGGGTTGGAGCAGCACAGTGGCAGGATGGAAGAAGAGAAAAAGTGGGTAGATTTGAGAAACAAGGACAATTGGTGGGGCTGGTGATGGATCAGTTTGGATGGAGAGGATGAGGTTTTTCTTCTGATACCAAATTGTTTTTCCCAACACCAACAACCAATTCTCCAATTTGCCAACACCAACTGGATGTCCCACAATTCAGTTCTTTTTTATTTTTTTTTTAATTTTTATTTATTTATGATAGTCACACAGAGACAGAGAGAGAGAGAGAGAGAGAGAGAGAGAGAGAGGCAGAGATACAGGCAGAGGGAGAAACAGGCTCCATGCACCGGGAGCCCGACGTGGGATTCGATCCCGGATCTCCAGGATCACGCCCTGGGCCAAAGGCAGGCGCCAAACCGCTGCGCCACCCAGGGATCCCTTCAGTTCTTTTTTAAAAAATGTTTTTAGATTTATTTATTTGAGGGAGAGTGTGAGTGTGAGCAGAGGGAGGGGCAGAGGGAGAAGCAGACTCCTCACTGAGCAGGGAGCCTGACACGGGGCTCAATCTCACGACCTTGAGATCATGACCTGAGCTGAAACCAACAGTACGACGCTTAACCTCAGACACCCTCAGTTCAGTTCTGATACTGACTTACGCAGAGCAAGTATCAGACTCCAGAGGGTTTTGTGTTTTTTTTTTTTTTTAAAGATTTTTCATTTATTCACGAAAGACAGAAAGAAGCGAGACACAGGCAGAGGGAGAGAAGCAGGCTCCCTGTGAGGAGCTTGATGCGGGGCTCAATCCCAGATCCCAGGATCACGCCCTGAGCCAAAGGCAGATGCTCAACCGCTGAGTCGTCCAGGTGTCCCAGACTCCAAAGGGTTAAGGGCTCAATTCCACATGTCTGCCCTCACTTCAGTTGAAAGTCCTAGGTTCCCAGGCTACCTGCACTTCTGACTTGGCTACCAGTTCAGGAGCTCCCATGACATACAGATCTCTCTCCCGCCAGTTCAATAATTTGCTAGAATGACATGCAGAACTCAGAACACATTTAACTATTACTGGTTTATTGTCGAGCATGTAACTCAGAAACATCTGAATGTAAAAGATGCATAGGGCAAGGTATGGGGTGTGGGGGGCACAGGCAGGAAAGCACAAGGCTCCCATGCCCTCTCCAGCCACCCTCCCAACACCTAGATGTGCTCACCAACCCACCCCCTCCTTGGGAGATTTTATGGAGGTTTCATTATGGAGGCATGATTTAGTCATTGGCCACTAGGGAGTGAACTCACTCTCCAGCCCCTCTCCCATCCTGGAAGGTGTGCATCTGTGAATGTATGAGGGGTACTTAAAAGTTCCAACCTTTTCATCATGGCTTGGCCTTCCTGGCAACCAGCCTCCACCTGGAAGCTACCTGGGTACCCCCATCCCCAACCTCCAGTCATCCAGAAATTCCCTGTGTTTCAGGAGCTCTATGCCAAGGACCTGGGGCAAAGATCAAATATTTGGTTTTTATTATACCACAAGGAGTAAGGGAGAAGTCAAGGTGGACTTCAGCACCAACACCCCTCCCAATGTCTGCCTGGCCCCAGGGTCCTAGACCGGGACCCATGTCTCATCCTCTCCACTTTTCTTTCTGCAGGAGATCGTGACTGCTTTGAGCTGCGGCAAGAACATTGTGCCGGTCATCGATGGCTTTGAGTGGCCAGAGCCCCAGGACCTGCCTGAGGACATGCAGGCTGTGCTCACCTTCAATGGCATCAAGTGAGGAGAGGGGTGGGTACACAGCCCTCAGCCAGCAGCTCCCTCTGCCGGCCCCCTAACCCACCAGCCTCTGTGCCCACAGGTGGTCCCATGAGTACCAGGAGGCCACAATTGAGAAGATCATCCGCTTCCTGCAGGGCCGCTCCTCCCGGGACTCATCTGCAGGCTCTGACACCAGTTTGGAGGGTGCCGTACTCATGGGCCCAACTTAACCAGTCCTTGGTTCCCAAGGCCTGTTGTGACCCCCATTTCCATCGTCCTTCCCGAAGAAGCAGCTCCTCAAACTGGTCTCTCTCAACTGCAACAGCCTGGGCCCTTCTCAGAAAATGGCTGTCACTCTGCCCCCACCCTCATGGCCCACCTCAAACCCAGCCTCCTCAGTGTCTGGAAAGGGAAGGGAAGGCAGGCATTGGGGATGGTAAGGGCCAGACCTCCCTAGTCTCTGCCACCAGGTTCTCTATCTCAGGTGTGGGAGAGACTCTGGAGGTTGAGACTCCGCACACTATACCCACCTACCTCGTGCCCGCCCTGACAGCAGCCAGCTTGGCTAGGGGGAAGGCAGGCAGCCTCCGACAAGAGTTAGGGCAATGCCCACCCCCCTGGGCTAAGCAAGGGCTGAGGCCTAGCAGCCAGCTGGAGGTGGGGGTTCAGTGATGGCTCTCCACCTAGATGGTGCCTGGCTTCTGGGCTCACTACTTCCTGCCACCCCGTGGCCTTGACCTGTAACCACTCACTGTCCTTAGCTGGTCTGGTCCCAAGTCCCCTCCCAGCTTTCCCGAGGTGCAGTCCTCTTACCACACCCGGGGTCAGGGTGGGGCTAAGCCAGCCCTCACTCTGGCTGGTCTGCAGCTGTGGTCAGCTTTGCTGCACTCACTGGTGCAAGGGAGCTGTCTGCTTGGGTCTGGGCCTGGGTCGCCAAGGCCGTCTCGCCAGGCAGCTAGCTACCCTACCCATGCCTTGTTGCTGTGCCTCAGTCCCTGCTGGCCAGGCTCAGCTGGCTCCCCCAGCCAACCCCTCCCTACCCACCTGCTCAGGGGATGGCCAGGAGAGGCAGCCCCCGCCTCGTGGCACAGCAGTCGGCTGGACAGCCTGTAGCAACACGGGAAGAGGCGGTACTCTGAAGAAGGGTGCGGGGCTCATTGGAATCCCCTGGGAATTTTCCTAAAACTGCATTCAGGAGACCTGGGCAGGGCCTAGGTTTCTGCATTTCTCACAAAATCCCAGGTGAGTGGATGCAGATGGTTAAGGAATGACGCTTCACCTAGCGAGGCTCTAAAACACAAATCCCTCACAAATCTTTGCCATTTCTCCCGACATCCCACCCCATAGTTTCTGCCATCACCTGAGCAACCCAACCCATATTTTCTCCATTTTACAGAGAAGGAACTGAATGACATGACATTTCAGTAGAGTCAGCCCCAGGATCCAGACCTGGCCTTCTGGTGCTCAGTCCACTGCCTGTCCTGAGAATCCTCTTGGAGGCTGTGCCCTGGGCAGGGCTGTCACTCTACTGACAGCTCACTTCTCCTCTGCCCCAAGGGTCTGGCAGTGGGGGACAGGTTTTCACACACAAAATAGGCTGGCCCAAAAGCTATGCAGAAGTAAAGCAAGAACATCCCTCTGCCCCTTTCTCCACTAGGTGGGAGAGCAAGAAGGTCTCCTCCCTCCAGTAAACCCCGGGCTTCAGCCAACAGGGTCAGCTGGAACCCTCCCTTACCTCCCCTCCTCACACCTCAGGCTGGCTCGGCTTTCAGAGCCACCCCCCACAAGTGCTAGCCAGGTCACTCGTAGCTCTTCAGCCACATCATCAGAGGATCAGAGGTCTCACTCCAGGCTTGGGACTCCTTTTCTGCTCCCTGTCCTGCCGAAGATACACTTTAGCCCATCCTGGCCCCCACCACTCTTGACCCTGCTTCCTTCATGCCACAACAGTGCCCACCAGTGCCAGGCCCTGGATGTGGTGGTGACTGAAGTGGCCTAGACACTGCCCTCATAGAGCAGAGAAAGTAACAATACAATGGGATGAGTACCCTCCAGGGGAAGCTTTCTCTTTGTCCCTGATCAGTCCCACTCCCTCGTGAGGCGCCCCAGGCAGCATTCTGGGAGGTTGCCAGGCCGTGTCTTCTGTTCATACACCTCTTGCTGCCCCGTCCTGCCTCTGGGGAATCAGAGCCCAGCCTCCAACCTCACCAGAGCAGCCGAGGTGATGGGGTGATGGCCCTCACCCCAGCCGGGCCAGTGTGCCATGACAGACTGCCCAGGTTATAGCCAGGGCAGGCACTTTAACCGTCACCTTATACCTAGGCCTGGTCCCACAGGGCTGGTCCTGAACCTGAGCTGAGAAACAGCCTTTCCCCACAAAGCCTGCTCTGACATTGGTCTGCTGGGTCAGGGTTTTCTGCTTGGCTGGGGTGTAGATGCTGCTTCTAGTGGGGGCTGTCAGCTAGGTCCCTACCTACCTCACCTCGCCCATCCCCAGGGACCAAGGACTGCTCAGGGATACTCCGAGGTCAAGAAGTCCAGCTCCAACTCATTCCTTCTCCCCTGCCCAGGAAGAGAGGCATCTCATTCTAAAATGTATGAGGTGAGAAGGGGCTCAGAACATCATCTAACCCGGTGTTTCCTAACTTGTCCACCTGTGACCAGACAATTCATGGGCGCTGTTTATCTAGCCCTTCATAGAAGGGCTTGCTCAAGGTCACAAGCAAGCCAGAGGCAGTGCCTAGAGTATAGCCCAGGCCTGAGGCCAGCCCAGAACCTTTCCCTGACTCCTCACTGCCTCATGCTGAGACAAGACAGTGGAAGGCCCTCTCCTTGCTTTGGTCTCCCAATGACAGAGACATTGACCCTGGTCTGCCCTGCACCACTCCATTTCACTGGTGTGATTTTCAGGGCAGGTGAGAGAAGAGGGTAGCCAGGAGCCAAACCCTGTTGGCCAATTCATGTTTGCAGTCAAGTGCCACCTGACTTGGGTCTCTGTGGGGGCCTACAGCCCTCATCAAAGCAGGTGCCTAAATACTGAATCCAGTTCTGCCTTTCAGCTGTTGGGCCAGGCTTTCCCAACACCCTGGAGAAGGGCCCTTGAATCAGTCAGGCCCATCTCCAGGTTCCCATTGACCTAAAGATGCACAAAAGATGGTCTCAGCACACAGCCCTGCTGAAATATGTGGCAATTGGAGTGCTAGAGAGCTGAGTAGTAACAGACTGATCCTGCTTTGGCTAGTGTAGCTGGGTAGACCAGTAAGGTGCCTTCGGGGAACGGATCTCTGACTGACCCTCAGGAATGGCCTCTGCCCTAAATCTCTCCACTGGCCAGATGCCAGCCTGGCAACCCCACAGCACCACCCTCTCTCCTAGCCCAGTAGCTCAGAAGAGAATGAGCAGTCAGAGGAGATGTGGGCTGTCAATGCCCAGCATCATCCCATGGCAGTTCAGGGGGCTGCTGCCCAGCCCAGAAGCTTACTGTTATCTGACCTACAGTGGGCAGACTGGGAACAGGAAAGCAGGGGGCCCCATAGCCCAATGCCTCAGGGGCCAGAAGGTTCACTTCAATGTGATTATACAAATTTATTGTGATTGGCACTGCTAAGCCCAGAGGATGGATTTCCCAGCCAGAGACAGCAGCACCTCTCTCCAGAGGGCACCCAGCCCCTCCCATAGCCTTCCCCCCAGAACCATATCCATCACTGAGGAGTGACTGGTGGCTGCACACCAGAAACAACCCTGTGAGCTGTGCAGTCTGGGTTGAAGCTATCAACCCTCCTGCTTCAACTGGTCCCTGAGGTGCCCTTCCAACAGAACCTCTCCTCTCCCCTGAAGAATTCTACGTGACTGATGGTATAAAGGGTAAATGGACCCCTGTTTCACAATGGCGCCCCCACTGTCTCCTGGAGTAGGACTGTCTGCATTATAATTCTAGATTAGAGTCTTAGGCTGGCACAGGTGTCTGGTTTGACCACTTTGTCCAAAGTAGACACTCGCCCTTGGAAAGGAGGTGCCCATGCTGCTGCGGGTTGGGATCCAGATGCATACTTTCAGATGGTTAGTGTTCACTTTGTTCCCTTTGCCCTCTGTCCTCTAGGCCAGGCCGATCAGGGGCTCTGAGGAAACTGCTGGAATTCGGGACGAGGATTAGCCTTTTCCAGCACCCTGTGAAAGACCAGAAAAAGGGTTTGGATTTGATCTGGGGAGACATCCTCAACTCTTAGAGATGTGACACAGGCTTTACTGGGTGGGCTGGGACAGGTATTCCCTCCCAAAGCTGAGAGGTGGAAGACAAGGCAATGTCCAGACACAGAGGGCTCTGGAAAGAAACTCTGAAGGCTATGGGGGAGGAAGTCAGGCTAGCCTCTGGCCTAGCCATAACTAGTAGGGGAAGCTCTCCCTGGCTTCACTTTAGCATATTTCTGCCACCAGACTTCCATGTGCAAAACAGGAATAGAGGAGGGGAGCTAAGGGAGAGAACACAGCCTTGCCAGCAAACAATGTTAGCCAGACCCTTCCCCCGGCCCCTCTGCCTTGTCCTTGGGGAATGGTTCCCAGATGATTAGGCAGCTGTCCCTCAAGGGCAGAATCAGGGGGAATGGTTCCAGGAATGACTTGGGAGGAGAAGAAAGCAGAAAACTTTGGGATAAAGGATATTATAAGCATGGGTCAGAGCCCTGCATTACCCAATCAGAATGGCCGGGATGAAGAGGAGGCCAGCTCCCAGGAGGAAGGGGAACCCCTTCATGAAGTTCAAGGTGGCTGGGTAGAGTGAGTTGAAGATGCCAGAAGCCATCAGCATGGCCAAGCTATTGATGCAGGCCACCGAAGAAAAAAGAGCACCTGTAAAGACATAAACATCACACTTTGGGGTCTGAAAGACCTAGACTCAATCCCAGAACCCCTAGCTTGCAGCTGTGTGACCTGGGGCAAGTCACTTGGACTTGGAGTCTCACCTTCCTCAATGATAAATCCTACATCGTGTGTTGTGATAAGGATTCAATGAGGTCATGCTTGGAAAGCAGTTGGCACAGAGGGGCTACAAAACTAATGGCTGTTATTAAATCTGTGTATTAAAAGTATATGTGATATCTTCTACCAAAAGCCCAGTATGATGGGTTTTGGTTTATCCCTTTTTGGAATCATCTCCTTTCTGGGATTAATTATAGGGTTAATTCCCATTAACTTATTATCCCAGATAATAAGTTCAAACACTTATCTATGTGATCACTCAGTAAGTTGCTTATCCTTCTGGGTTTCTATCCAGGATAATACCTATTTCATAGATTGATAGCAAGATTAAATTCACATGGAAAGCATCCATCGCAGGCCCTGGCCCCCTGGAGGTAGTAAGGGCTGCTCTTTTCTCCAGTTCCCCTTGGCATCTCTGGGTACAGTGAAAATGCTAGAAAAAAAGCTTACTGAGTGAATGAATGAAGGTACATGGGTTCTGGGGGGCAAGGGAACGAACCCTTAGCTACATATAGCACCAGATCCTCCTTCCAGGGCAGATGGGGAAAAGTGGATGAGCTAGATATTTCCAGACTAGGGTATAAAGACCCAAAGGTCCGAGAAGCTACTCCATAGAGATATGCCAATAGAACTCAAATTTTGCAAAATGAGCAACACCCCAACAGAAATTGAGTTTGAACTCTGTCAGAGCGTCAGAGCTAGACAGAGCTCTTGTCAAGAGCAAACCCCTGGGGCAGCCCTGGTGGCCCAGCGGTTTAGCGCCACCTGCAGCCCGGGGTGTGATCCTGGAGACCTGGGATCGAGTCCCACATCGGGCTTTCTGCATGGAGCCTGCTTCTCCCTCTGCCTCTCTCTCTTTGAATAAATAAATACATAAATCTTAAAAAAAAACAAAACACTCATGTTACAGAGGAGCAAACAGGTACAGAGACAGAAAGGGACCTACCCAAGATCACACAGCCAGTGGGTGACACAGCCAGGACCCAAAACCATATCCCCAGACCTGCTGCTCTTAAAAACAGCTGGGTTTGCATCCTAGCTCCACCACTTACTGAGTGACCTTGGGTGACCTGATTTAACCCTCTGGGTCCCTGCTTCTTCACTGGTCACTTTGGGACAAGGAAATATCTAATGGTTGTTCTAATGCTTCCTCTGTGGTCTGCCACGAAACTGCCATCACCACATCTTTCTTACAGATGGAAAAGCTGAGGTCCGGAGAGAGTAAATCCCTGTGCTCAGGTTACCCAAAAGAACAAGTGTGCTCTGCTGACTGCAAATTCCAACCCTGTGATCTGAAAATCCAAGGCACTATGGTCCTTTGCCAACCCTTGGCAATTTGACAGAAGTGCGTTGGTCTCGGCTACTAACTTCTCCAGGGTGGGAGGAAGGTAAACTGCCTCCCAGCTCACAGCTGCCCTCTGCCTAGGTCAGGCAACACTGGGTATGAAGAACCAGATGGAGGCTGATCCTGGCACTCACCCTGCTCTGACTTGCCCACCAGCTTGGAGAGCTTGGCCCGGATGATGGGTGTGGTGACTAATGACAGGAACAGGAGCCCATACCCTGCAGAGAAAGAAATAAGAAAATGGGGTCAGGGGGAGGGATGCCTGAGCACCCTACATCGCAGAGCTCTTATACATATATACCCCATGGGGGACTTAGGTTGGACACAGGAAGAACTTCCTTATTGAAGGAGTCCACCTTTCTCAAGGCTTGACCTACCTGCTACCTCTTTCATGGATGAATGCTTAGTCCCCACCAATTATGTTCTTGTCAGAACAGCTCCCATAGTCCCAGCAGGCATCACCCACTCACCTTGCACAGAGAAGGTAGATGGCCTGGCACAGAAAACAAGCATGGGCTTTGGAGTCAGCCCGGGGTTCTAAACCTGACTCCATTGCTTACTGTGTGGCCCTGGACATGACTGCTATCTGTAAAAGCATAACAAAGCCTTCATCACAGGATGGTTCTGGGGTATAGGAGGCTGAATAATGGCTCTCCTAAAATATCAGGCCATAATCCCTGGAATTTGTAAATGTTCTTATTTGGAAAATGGATCTTTGAAGATGTGATTAAGTTAAGGATCTGGGGGGAGGGGGGGAAGATGGGCAGCCCAGGTGACTCAGCATTTAGCACCGCCTTCAGCCCAGGGCGTAATCCTGGAAACCGGGTCCCACATCGAGCTCCCTGCATGGAGCCTACTTCTCCCTCTGCCTGTGCCTCTGCCTCTCTCTCTGTGTCTCTCATGAATAAATAAATAAAATCTTAAAAAAAAAAAAGTTAAGGATCCTGTGATGAGGTGATTTTCCTGATTACCAGATAGGCCCTAAAAGCAATCACACGAATCCTTAGAAGAGGGAAATGGAGGGAGATGTGAAAGACAAAACAGAGAAGGCACATAGAAGAGGAAAGGCCATGTCAGAGGCAGAGATTCAGGTGACACAGCCACAAGTCACGGAATGCCGGTGGCCACCCAAAACCAGAAAAGGTGAGGAAAATTCCCTCCCAGAGCCTCCAAAGGGAGTGTGGCCCTGCTGACCCCTTGACTTCGGGCCTCCAGGACTGTGACAGAATAAATTTCCATTGTTTTAAGGCATCCTGGTTGTGATAATTTGTTACAATGGCACTAAGAAATGAGTACATGAGGTAAGTCTGAGGAAAGCACAAAATTAATGCAAGTTCCTTTTCCCTTTGCATTTGTTACTCACAGGCTTACAATGTTTCTTTTGTAACAATTTCTCTCCCTTGTGTGACTATTGCCTTCTAGAGGATGGTAGATTCTCCCAAGTGGGTATATGAGGCCACTCAGGGCCCCTTCAGGTGTCAGGCCCTCAAAAACCACTCTGCTGAGGCTCCTCAGAGTAATGACAGTGTCTTCATCATCTCTGCACCCCTGAGGGCATTGAGCCCAGCGCCGAGGCCATGGGAGATGCTGTGGGCAGGAGAGGAAGGTACTTGGTCCCCTTCAGCTTCACTCTCCAGGCAAGCAGCCAAGTTAAGAAATCCGCAATTACTGATGAACTGACTTTGTAAACAACATATTTTAGGACTCTATCAAAACTAATCTGTCCCTTTAAAAAAAGTTAACTTCCTCATTCCTAGCCACCCCTCTCCCACCAAAAGGAGGATGGGAAGGAAGAGGGGCAGGAGGAAAGAGAAGAGGCAGATGTGGAGGGAGGGGGAGGAGGAAGGGAGAGAAGGCAAGGAGTGAGGAAAAGGAGTGAGGGGGAGGAGGAAGGGAAGGAGGGAGAAGAGAGAGGAGGGAGAGAAGGGGATGAAGAAGAGGAAGGGGCACCTGAGTGGCTCAGTGGTTGAGTGTCTGTCTCTGGTTCAGGGTGTGATCCTGGGGTCCTGGGCTAGAATCCCACATCGGGCTCCCCATGGGGAGCCTGCTTCTCCCTCTGCCTATGTCTCTGCCTCTCTCCGTGTCTCTCATGAGTAAATAAATGGAGAAGGAGAAGAGGAGGAGGAGGAAGAACTAAGGCAGCGAGGAATTTGCTATCTGTGGTCTGAGAAGACTAGCTTTTTTAAAAACCCAAAGAAGTTGGGACGCCTGGGTGGTTCAGCAGCTGAGCGTCTGCCTTCGGCTCAGGGTGTGATCCCAGTTTGGGTATGAAGTCCTGCATCAGGCTCCCTGCGAGGAGCCTGCTTCTTCCTCTGCCTATGTCTCTGCCTCTCTGTGTGTGTTTCTCATGAATAAACTTTTTAAAATCTTAAAAAAAAAAAAAAAAGCTGACCACGGATATTTGTGGTAGGGAAGGATATTTGTGGTAGGGTGTGTGATTCTTTTTTTTTTTTTTTTAAAGATTTTATTTATTATGAGAGACACAGAGAGAAGGCAGAGACACAGGCAGAGAGAGAAGCAGGCTCCATGCAGGGAGCCTGATGTGGGACTCAATCCGAACCCTAGGATCATGCCCTGAGCTGAAGGCTGATGCTTCATGCCCTGAGCTGAAGGCTGTGCCAGGTGTCCCGGGCCTGTGATTCTTATCAGAGAATTGAGTATTAAGGTATTAGTGGCATGGACTTTGTTTAAGAACACCATAAATATTGGCTGTGGGAGGCCAATGAGTGAAGTGATTAGTGTATGAGCCATACTTTTGTCTGCTGCTCTATCTTACTAATGATGTTTATAGTTGACAATGTGAATTAATTACAGAGGCTACTGAAGGTCTATCTCTTCCGTTTAACAAAGATGGCATATTTTTATGAAGTTTCTTAGTTGTCTATCCTCCAGTGCAGGCAAGGAGCCTAACAATGTTTCTAGACACAGGCAGGAACCACGTTTAGTGGCAGTGAGTGTCTGACCCCCAATTTTCACCCAGCACCTTTGGGGCAAAGTGTCCCTGAGCCGGCACATTTTACCTGTAAACATGAGAGGTGTGATGGTAGCGAATGCAAAGACCACCATCCCCAGAATGTTGAAGGCCAGGCCAATCTCGGCCACCCAGGTATCAGCCAGGCAGTGCTGCAAAAGCCGCAGGCCCACCAGGCTGGTGAGGTACAGAAGGTGCTGAGCTGCTGAACCATAGCCGACCAGCCTGGAGTCCCAGCAGAGGGGTTTGCTCAGCTCATAGAGGGTCAGGATGTCCTGAGCCCCAAAGTGCACAGTGATTACCATGAAGATGGCCAGTGAATACAGGGCTAAATGCTTCCTGGACTTCTCTGGGGCCGGAGTCAGGTATAGCCAGACAATGGATCGGTGGTGACGGAGCGTGAAGAGCCGGGCAGGTGTCGGCTCCTTCACTGTCTCACCAAAGCATAATGCTGCATAGAAAGTCATGACTATCAACACGGCCAAGGCCAGCCAGAAGGGATTGGCATAACCCTGGGCCCGGAGCCAGTGGCCCCCCAGGAGGCTCGCCAGCATCCCTGCCACCCCGATGCATGCTTCCAGCAGGGCCATTCGCAAGGTGCGGCTGCGGTTGGAGCTGACATCTGCCACGGAGGCAAAGCTTGCTGCCAGAAGGCCATTGAAGTCCCCAAGGAGAGCACAAAGGATGCGGCCCAGCACGAAGTAGCCAACGTGGAGCTGCAGCTGGACCACGAAGATGGACACCACTGCCTGTAGCAACAGGCCCAGGGAGGCCAGCACCAGGAGGGGGCGGCGGCCCACGCAGTCACTCCAGGCACCCAGCAGGGTGGATGAGAAGAGCCCCACCAGGAAGCCGCCCAGGTTCATGTAGAGGGTCCAGTGGGAGGTAAGGGTCTCCACTTCCTGTGGGGACATGAATCTTACCAGGTGCTGTTCCTCACTATGGGTTGCCCACCCCGCAAACCGTCACTATCCTAGGAAATAATAGGGATGGGGGCTCTCTTTGGAGCCTCAGAGAATCCTCGTAAAACTCTCAAAACCTGGCCCTGGGGTACAGGGACTGGACCACGGTCCCATTCCCTGACCTTTACTCCTTTCTATTAACCCTCACGGCCCTGCTTTAACCTAGGGGATCCCTGGGTGGCTCAGCGGTTTGGTGCCTGCCTTTGGCCTGGGGCTCGATCCTGGCGTCCCGGGATCGAGTCCCGCGTCGGGTTCCCTGCGTGGAGCCTGCTTCTCCCTCTGCCTGTGTCTCTGCCTCTCTCTGTCTATCATGAATAAATAAATAAAATCTTACAAAAAAAAAAAAAAACAACTATGGGAACTTGACGGTCCGGGAACCAACTTCGCTCTGCCCCGCCCACTACCCCAAACCAGCAGGCCCCGCCCCCCGGCGCCCCCCACCCCCCGTCCTCCAGCTCCGGGCCCACCGCCCGCCCGCTGCGTGCTCCTCCCCGCCGCTACCTTCATGACCGGGTCCGCGCTGTGGTTGCTGCAGCTGCCCCTGTCGCGGGTGCCATTGTAGCCGAGGTCGGCACTGAAGCGGTGCCACAAGTATTGCGTGGTGAGCGGGCCCTGCAGGACCAAAGCGAAGTTGGCCATGAAGACGAGCGGCTCCACGGGGCCGCGGCACAGCGCAGCAGCGCAGCGGCGGACGCGGGCCTCGCCCGGGGGGCTCGGGCGCCCCTCCATGCGCGTGCGCGTCCGGGTCGGCGCGAGGACGGAGGGCTGGGATTTCTGCGCAGGCGCCCGGCGTCCCTTTTTTAAAAAAAAGTCGGCGGGGGCGGGGCCGCCGTCCCCTCCCGCTGGCCCCGCCCGCTCGGGGCTGGTGAGCGCGGGAGAGCGGCCCCACCCCCCTGGCTCGCCGAGTGACCTCGCCCGCGGTCCGTGCAAGGATACCGCCCTGCCGCCCTCCTTTCCAGGCCCAGAAACGCTCCAAACGATAACACAAATATCAATGATTAACACTTATTGATCACTTACTGGGCGCTGGGCACTCCCAACAGCCTCGTGGCTAGCCATTACTAAAGGATCACAGTGTACGGATGAGGAAATAAGGGCCTGGGGCATTCAAGGTGGAGGCAGGAGAACGCTTGACCTGTGATGCCTGTGCTGGTTCTGGGCGCTGCAGCAGAGGCAACTCAGTGGATGAGTGCCCCCTCAAGCTCTCTTACCTTGTTTCCGCTGCCCAGGCGCTGCTATTATCTTGGGCATGGCACGTACCCCCCGGTGCCCCGTTTCTCCATCTTTAAAATGAGGGTGCTAGTGGAATCTGCCTCGAAGAATTGCTGTGGAAGGAGAGTGTCTAGTCCATTCTAAATGCTGCTGTTGTTATTTATAGGCTGTCACTGGCTCCACTCCTGCCATACGATCTTTTCCTGGGAAACCGGTCTCGTTTCAGAGGCTCAGGACTGGCGCTTGCGTTGGAGGAGCAGAGGAGGAGAAGCTGATGGAGGGCCTAGGAGGCCATTGGGTGTGGCCCTCTGCTCCCGGGTGCTCCTACTGTAGGAATTGGGCCAGAAGGCAGTCAAACGTCCTGTCTGGGCATGTTTCATTGCCCATAAAAGAGAAAAGCATTACTTGCCTTTCCCCTTTATCATTCACTCAGCCCATTTCTTGAGCACCCCTTATATGTCAGGGATCATGCTGGGGGTGCTCCAAGAACACAGTGGTGAAGGAAACACACAAAGCCTTTACCAGGCCCTGTAGTTTTTACAATGGTGGGGATACACATCAAAGAATCCAGTTAGTCTCTGCAAGAGTTCATCTGTGGAAAAAGCTTTAAAGGAGGGAATCTGTGGGACTCCAAGGCTGCTCATTCGGGGCCTGGCCAGGTCTAGGAGGGTCAGGGCCAAAAAAGGCCACCTTCCCAGTTAGTAGTGCAACTGAATGGATTTCTGGAGGCAAGCTCTGTGCCATTATCCATAGGCCCTAATTTTGGGGTGGTAGGGGCTCCATTTCTGGCTACCATGACTGTGTGTGGGCTTGCTGCTGGCTTATTAACCATCCCACACCTTGCCTGAGCCAGAAAGGGTCCCAAGCTCACAAAAGGTAGATGCTGGCTAGATACTGGTAGCCTGAATGAGGCCTGTACCTTAACAGAACCATTACTACCCTGTGGTCATCCTCAAGGTAGGAAATTCCACATTAAACATACAAGCCCCCAGATTGTCTCCCTCCACTCCCCACTACCTACACAAAAGCTTGGCCCAGTTATGTCAGCTGTGGAAGGGGAGGATTCCTAGCTGAAATTGTATTGTTATTTCCTGAAGAACTAAGAATGAGAGACATAATGCCAAGTTTCTCTGCTGAGAATGGGACAGCATGTAGCCTATTCCAGAGCTGGAACCTGTGGTGCTCTCTAGGTCAGAGGTGGTGGCGGTGGCGGCGGTGGCGGCGGCAGCGGCGGCGGCTTCTTCCTTTTCTTCTTCCTCTTCTTTTTCTTTTTCTTCTCCTTTTAATTTATTTATTTGAGAGAGAGAGGGAAAGAGAGCATGAGCAGGGTGAGGGGCAGAGGGAGAGGGAGAGAGAATCCCAAGCAGACTCCCTGCTCAGATCATGACCCTAAGATCACGACTTGACTGAAATTCAGAATTGAATGCTTAACCAACTGAGCCACCCTGGTGCCCCTAGACCAGAAACCTCTTTTAACTCCTTTAAAACCTAGCTACAGTCAGATCACTGATCTGTACAAAACCATCCAGTGGTTTCCATTTCTTTCAGTGAAAGCCGAATCATTAAGAGGGCCCTAAGACCGTATGCCCTCTCTGACCCTTTCCCTACACTATCATTTTTGTTCCTTTGCTCTAGCTATCCTGGCCTCTTTGTTCCTTCAATTGGTCCAGCAGACTCTTGCCCCAGGGTCTTTCATTTGTTCTTTTGCCTACCTGAAATGCTCTTCTACCAGATATCGATCTGACTGGCTTCCTCACTTTATTCTTACCTCTTGCTAAAATGTCACCTGACCCTTCTAGATATAATAGCAACTCTCTTCCCCCATCTCCTGACACTCCTTAACCCCTTACCTCATTTATTATTTCCATAGTATTTTCACTATCTCAATTATTATAACTTTGGTTTCTTTGGGTCCATCTCTCCTTACTAGAAGTGATAGCAGTGGCTTTATTTTCTTTGCTACTGTATCCCCAGTACCTCCAATCATGCCCAGTATGGGGTGGATGCTCAGAAGGTGTTAGTTGAATTAATAAATGAATCCCTCAAGCAGAGAAGAGCCCCAGCGCCCATGGAGAGGGTTGCCAGTGTCAAGCTACACTGTGGAGTCCAGAGTCCAAGAATCTATACCTAAAAGGAAGTCTAGAGAGCATATCTTTGCCTACCTACTTCTTATTTTTTTATTTTCTTCTATTTTTAAAGATTTTATTTATTTATTCATGACAGAGAGAGAGGCAGGCTCCTCACAGGGAGCCTCACGCAGGACTCCATCCGGGGATCGGGATCACGCCCTGAGCCAAAGGCTGCTAAGCCACCCAGGTGTCCCAACCTACCTACCTTTTAAAAGATGAAGAGGGGCCCCTGAGTGGTGCAGTCAGCTAAGCATCAGACATTTGGTTTCAGCTTAGGTCATGATTTCAGCCCCACATGGGGCTCCACGCTCTGCATGGAATCTACTTAACACTCTCTCTTCCTCTCCCATTGCCTCTTCTCACTCTCAAAAAAACAAATCTTTTTTTTTTTAACAAATTTTTAAAAATAAATAAATACACGGGGTACCTGGGTGGCTCAGTGGCTGAGTGTCTGCCTTCAACTCAGGTCGTGATCCTAGGGTCTGGGAATTAAGTCACACATCAGGCTCCCTTCGAGGAGACTGCTTCTCCCTCTGCCTATGTCTCTGCTTGTCTCTGTGTGTCTCTCATGAATAAATAAATAAAATCTTTAAAAAAGTTTTTAAAATACATCAATCAATCAATAAATAAAGAGGTAATTGAGGTCCAGAGTGAGGGGTGACTTACCCAGAGGGAGATAAAAATTCCTGCCCTTTCAATCCCTTAAAGGAAAGAAGTGATTGCAAAGGAAGAACTATGTAGGACTTGATTCCATCAGAATTAAAATCCTAAATTAAAAGGCAAACAGAAAATAAAATATTCCTTTTAAACATGACAAAGTGTTAATATTTTAAGTATATTTGATGACAACTTAAGATCTCTCCCTCATCCATCAAACAGCTGGATAAAAACCAAGCACCAATATCAGTGCCTGGGTGGCTCAGTCGGTTAAGTGTCTGCCTTTGGCTCAGGTCATGGTCTCAGGGTCCTGGGATCTGGCCCCATGTCAGGCTTCCTGCTCAGTGGGAAGTCTGCTTCTCTGACTCCCTCTTCCCCCACCTCCCCCCAACTCATGTTGTCTCTCTCAAATAAATAAAACCTTTAAAAAATGTAAAAAAAAAAAAAGGCACAGAGAGCTTGTAACAGAACCACATGTGAAATACACAAGCTGTTCTCCAGCTTTTGAATAATGAAGGAAATGCTGCGCCTTTGCTTTTGTTTTTTGTGGCCAACACATTAGCAGATATTTAGTTTTAAATGAGAACGCCCAAAATTGGTAAGGCTTGTGTGAAGCAAACACAGCTGAGGGAGTATATATATACCGTTTCAAGAAACAGTTGCCTAACATTGCATCAAATTCTCTAGTTTTTTTGAGGCTCTATCCTAAGGAAATAATCTGACGGACCACAACAAAAAAGCCTTATGGGTCAAGACATTCTCCATAACATTATTGACAATCGTAAAAAAAATTGTAAACAATATACTTGTCCAACAAGCAGTGATTGAAGAGTAAATTATAATAGATTCATTCAATGGCTATTGACAATTATGATGATATAAACAAAGAGATTGTAATACTGTAGAAAACTGCTTATGTCATTTTTAAAAAGATTTTATTTATTTACTCATGAGAGACACAGAGGCAGAGATATAGGCAGAGGGAGAAGCAGGCTCCTTATGGGGAGCCTGATGCAGGACTCGATCCCAGGGCCCCAGGATCATGACCTGAGCCAAAGGCAGACACTCAACCACTGAGCCATCCAGGTGCCCCTATGTCATCATTTTTATGTGGAAAAACTAGAGGACTTTTTGTCCATATGGTATGGTCATCGGTATAGAAAAGTACGCTAAGTAAAGACAGGAAGACACTGCACCAAAATATTAACAGATGTTCTCTCTGAGTGGAGAGGTGATGAGGTTATATTTTCTTCTCTTCTTTCTCTTATTTATTTGTTTGTTTGTTTATTTATTTGTTTTGTTTTTATTTATTTATTTATTTTAAAATTCTTATTTATTTATCCGTGAGAGACATAGAGAGGGAGAGGCAGAGACACAGGCAGAGGGAGAAGCAGGCTCCATGCAGGGAACCTGATGTGGGACTCGATCCCAGACCCCAGGTTCACTCTCTGAACCTAAGGCAAATGCTCGATCGCTGAGCCACCCAGGCGTCCCTCTTCTTTCTCTTTTTAAAATATTGTCAACTCTTCTGAAATAGATATGTATTTTAATCATGGAAAATATGACATTTCTAAAAATCTGATGACGTTCCTCTACTTTGAAACCATTCTGGCTCAGTTGCCAAAGATCAGTTTCATACCCATTAGCATTCTGAAGCATCAATGGGAGCTGCCTTTCACTGAACCAGGCACTGTGTGAGGTCGCTCCATACACTATCTTATTCAATCCTCAACACAATCTTAAGAGGTAGGAGCTATTATCATTTTTACAGATGACATATCTGTCGCTTAGAGAAATGCAGGAAAGAGGTCCTTCCCACTCCAAGTATAGATTTTCTCCTCCTTACACCCATTCCAAGGCTTTCTGAATCTCAAGCCTTAGTATATGTTAGTCCCTTTGCCAGGAATGCTTTTTCCACCTTGCTTGGCCTATTCAAGTCCTCTTCATCCTTCAAGACTCACTTCTGTGTCACACTTCTAGGTGGAATTAGTCATTGCTTCATATGTGTTTCCACAATACCATGTTCATACATTTAACCCTGGTTTTATATGAAACCTGTCTATAAATATGTGTTCATAGTTTTGCCTACTCCTAGCCCCTACCCATATTTGACTTGAGGACAGAGATAGCACATTATTCATCCCTGCATCTCCTAGCAACAGGCCCAGCATGGAATAAGATGAAATGTTGAATAAGTTTCTTGGCGTGCACCAACTCCAATTGATTGCAGCTACTTGGATTGCTGCATAGATGGGCTGTTTCTCTGGCTTGGTGGGAAGGAGTCCTGTAATCCATACGTTATGTCTGCCATGGGCTCAGGAATGAAAAATTTGCCATTAATGACAGTGTCATCCAACCCTGGAGTGTGTGCTCAGAAGGTTTTGTTGAGAAGCTTTGGAGAAGTTCTTGGAAGCTGTAGTACTTTCTTCACTCCCATTCAGGTAATGCATGTAAGAAGACTGTCTTATGACCACAGTGAAAGAGATTATTGCAACAGGGATTCCTCGTTCAAGTGGCAGTCTGGGGGTGGCTGCATGGTTTAGTCAGTTGAACATCTGATTCTTGATCTCAGTTCAGTTCTTGATCCCAGGATCATGTGTTCAAGCCCCATGTTGGACTCCATGCTGGGTATGGAGCCTACTTAAAACAAAAACAAAAACAAATCAATGGCAATCTCTCACAGCTTCCACCCAAAGCCTGTACTTCCTTTCTACAAGTAACCAACCATAGCTTCCAAAAAGCTATTTATGTTTTTGGATATTAACAGGAGATGCAGAGAGAGCATGAGGGGAAAGCCATTTCCCTATTTTGAGTTGTGTTTCTCACATGCCAATTCTAAAATTCAAAGCAGCATCCATGTCACAGCTACAGGTGTCCCTAGCGCTGAAGTGGAAGCGTCTGTTATATCTGTCTCACCTTCAGACTTTGGCCAAGTGCCTTTCTGGCCTCTATTTCCTCATCTGGGAAGTCATTTCTGGCCTGTTTCCTTCTCTGGGAAAATTGAAATAATAAGATCTACCTATGGGGTGGTTATTAGGATCAAATTAGAAAACGTGTGGCTGTGTCCAGATGCCAGAGATGGTGGTTTCTATTGAGATGAGCATGATGGTGAAGAGGGATTTTACCAGAAAGAAGTGAGACTGTTGCAGGTGAGGGGACTAGCTAAGCCTTAGAGAGGAATGCTGGCCAGAGTCCAGAGAAGTGTAGGACTGGAGAGGCAGCTCCCCAACCACTTACTGCACAGGAGAGATTCCCCAAACCACTTCTTGTCTTGGGGCTCCTACTTTTGATCTCCTTTTATTTTTTTATTCAAAAAATTTATGTATGTATGTATGAGAGAGAGAGAGAGCATGTACATGCATGCATACACACACAGAGACGTGCATGAGTGGAGGGGAGGGGCAAAGGGAGAGGGAGAGAGAATCCACAAGCAGATTCCCCACTGAGTGCCAGTGGGGGCTCGATGCTGGGCTTGATCCCAGGACCCTGAGATCATGACCTGAGCCAAAATCCAGAGCATGCTACTCAACTTACTGAACCGCCCAGGCGCCCTCAACACTTTGTTCTTGACAGAGCATTCACATCTCTCCATCCCTCCCTCCATTCATTTAGCATCTACAACTTGCCAGGACCATGCTAGGTGCTGGGGTTACAGGCAAGAGTTTACCCAGTCCCCTCCCTGGAGGAGTTCCCACGCCAGTGGAAGGTGCACCACAAATCCTAAATTGCAGCAATAAAAGCATGCAGCAGCATAAATCAGTCCAGAGCTTCCTCAAGAGGAAGTCAAATAAGGATTCACAGCAGAGGAGCTGAAATTCAAAGCAGGAAATGATGAAGAGGAGTCACCAGAAGAACAGAGAGAGGAAATGAAGAAGGGTTTTCTATACTGTGGATAAGGCAGATCCATCTAATTATGCATGAATAGCACAGTTAAATAGCATTATATTGTGTGTATGTGTGTTAAAACATGAAATTTGTTAAATGTAAATGTTTTTACTATAAAAACCTGTCTTGGAAAGTGCTCATTTTTTTTAAACCAATTTATTATTATTTTTTGTTTAATAGAGAGAACACAGTAGGGAGAGAGAGCAGACTCCTCCCTGGGCAGGGACCCTGACATGGGCTCTATCCCAGCACCCTGGGATCAAGACCTGAGCTTAACCCACTGAGCCACCCAGGCACCCTGCAAGTGTTCATTTTTAATTTGCCTGGGACCTCAAATAAGGGAAGTTGTCCCAGGCCTCTTGACCTCTGGGAGACTGTGCAGGCACTCCTCATGGCTGACATCGTCTAGGGGCAATAATAGGGTAATATCTAGGGTTCTCAGGAAGGACGTCTTTTGGCCAGGCCTCCTTCCACTCCCAGGCTCTGAACCCCAGCGCTGATGGTCTGGAGCACCTGTTTTTCTAAGTGCATCAGAGAACTAAACGCAAACAAGGCTGGGCACAAATCAAAAGGCTGTGCCCAGACTGTATGGCCACATGCCTCATCTAGAGCTGCCCATTCCCAGTACAGGGAAATGGGCAATGGAATTACTGAGCAGTGAGTGTCTGTGGCTCGCTCTTCCCTTCCTTGGTGGTGTTCATATACCCTATTGTCCTCTGCTGACCATTGACCACGTAAACATGTTCTTTTTATAGATGTGTCAGTCATGCTGATTAAAAACTGACTTCCATTTAGGGAACTGCTCTGGACTAGCCATTTTACACATACGGTCTCTTAGCCTCGTTACAGCTCAGGGAAATATTTGAGTTGGTGTCTGTGGACTCCTGAGCCTCCACACCCACACCTTCTATTCACAGACACAGAGCCTGTAGGCTAGATAGGGATATGGTTTTGTTTGATTCACATGGTGTTCTTAAAAAATTAGTTGGTTCACAGAGTATATTTTTAATTTTGAATTAGTTGCCAGGGATCCCTGGGTGGCGCAGCGGTTTGGCGCCTGCCTTTGGCCCAGGGCGCGATCCTGGAGACCCGGGATCGAATCCCACGTCGGGCTCCCAGTGCATGGAGCCTGCTTCTCCCTCTGCCTATGTCTCTGCCTCTCTCTCTCTCTCTCTCTCTCTCTCTGTGTGTGTGTGTGTGTGTGTGACTATCATAAATAAATAAAAATTTAAAAAAATATTAAAAAAACGAATTAGTTGCCAACATTTAACAGTTGGAAAATTTCACATGAAAACCCAGATTTCTGGATTCTCTTGAAAAACTCAGAGATTGATGCCTGGGTGCCTCAGCGGTTGAGCGCCTGCCCTCGGCTCAGGGCGTGATCCCGGAGTCCGGGATGGAGTCCCACATTGGGCTCCTTGTGGGGAGTCTGCTTCTCACTCTGTCTGTGTCTCTGCCTCTCTTTCTCTGTGTGTGTGTGTGTGTGTGTGTGTGTGTGTGTGAAAAAATAAATAAAATCCTTAAAAAAAAGTAAAGAAAACTCAGAAATTGTGGCAGCATTCACACAAGCGTACACCTTTGGGGTAGAGCACTCATCCTTCTGTTCACCATCACCCCACCACTCACCTTGACTCAGAGGAAGGACACCTACCTGGCTTAGGGGCTCTGCTGTTGTCTGGGAATGGGATCCCAAAGTTTCTTTCTTTCTTTTTTTAAAATATTTTATTTATTTATTCATGAGAGACACAGAAAGAGAGGCATAGACATAGGCAGAAGGAGAAGCAGGCTTCCTGCAGGGAGGTTGTAGGACTCCATCCCAGGACCTCTGGATCATGACCTGAGCCAAAGGCAGACACTCAACCACTGAGCCACCTAGGTGCCCCAGGATCCCAAAGTTTCTATAGGGTCTACACGGAGGCTTTCTGAGCATAAAGCAGACGAATCACTGACACTATGCCAAGCGACTATTCTAAGGGTCTGAAAACATTCTGTTGCCTTCCATCTTTAGGTTAATTTAATTAGCTGTAAGGCCATGTTCCTGGCAAGCCCACTACCAGATTACTATCTGGTAGTGTTATGGAGAGAGAGTGTGAGGCCAGAGAAGTCAGTGGGGACCAGATGATGCCTCTAAGGAGTTTGGATCTTACTGAGATTGAGGTGTCTGTGTGGCACCCTAGTGGAGGGGTTCTCATGGGCAGCTATACCCAGATTCACAAAGGGCAGGGCTGAGAGCCAATCTCATTTGTTTTACAGAGCCATGGGAGTGAACAGACCATCCTGAGAGGACACAAGTGACAAAGAGCCCGGGTCAGTGGGGAGCACAGCCACTTCAGAGGAGTTGGGAGAAGACAGAGGGGCAGGAGGAGGAGAAGAGGAGACTGTTAAGGGAGCCAAGAGAAGAGAATCTATAGGTAAGATTGATGACATGCTGGTTATTAAGGAGACATTCAGGAAATTAGTGGCAATTAGGGGTCAGTGCTGGGCACTCCGGAAGTTCTAGCAGCTGAGATAAGAGAAGGGAAGGATAGAAATCAGATTGCAGGGATGCCTGGGTGGCTCAGTGGTTGAGCATCTGCCTTTGGCTCAGGGTGTGATCCCGGGGTCCTGGGATCGAGTTCCGCATCGGGCTCCCTGCACGGAGCCTGCTTCTCCCTCTGCCTGTGTCTCTGCCTCTCTCTCTGTCTCTCATGAATGCATAAGTAAAATCTTAAAAAAAAATAAAACAAATGTTCTGTCATTTCTAAAATATATAGATATTTTCTCACATAAGCACAATGTTATTATCACCCTTAAAAATGTAACAATTTTTCGACATGATTTAATACTGGGTATTCAATAATTTTTGCCAAAAATGTCTTTGTATGACTGATGTGTTTGAATTAGACTTCAGACAAGCCCACACAATGCCTTTTAAGGGCAGGCCATGGTTCTTAGACCTCTTTTGTTCTGGAACAGTCTCTCCACTCTCCACTATCCCCTGTGTCTGCCTTTACTGAGTTGTAAAAAAATACTCATAAAAATTTATATAATAAATAGGGGTATTTATGGCACTTATGGGCACCAGGAATGGACTCCACCCTAAGACATGTAAATCTATTTCTCAACTTTTGCTACCTTAACTGCCACTATAGGTAAGAAATGAGGCACTGTTTGTGGTAGGAAAGTGTATCAATAGAAAAGAGTGGCCCAAAATAGGATGGGAGAAACGTCCAGAAAAGGAGATCAAAGGGAAAGATGAAATTTGATAAATTATCCACTCCAGGGTGAGAGGTGTTGAGTCCAGCATTCACTTCCCCAGCAGCATGGATGGATTAGTGGACAGCAGTCCTCACCAGCAAGCTGCTCGTGGTTGTCATAAATAGCCTTACAGTGTCCCCACACACCCACACCCACACTTTCCTTCTCCTTCTCCCCTGGTGACCCCAATGACCCTTCCAGCCTCTAGGATGAGTGGGTAGAGGTGCCCAGTGAGTGGCATATGAACTCTGCCCCTCTGGGAAGATCTATTTAGGTTTTCAGAATTTTGATTTTCTACTGGGAATTAACACATCAGTGCTTGAAACTTTGATCCAGTCCCTTACGGGTTTCATCACTGTATGGCAGCCTCTGAAAACTAGATAGTCTGGCTGTTCTGACAAAGTGGCATTTGGCTGCCCAAGGTTCTGTTGCCATGGCCAGGGTGGCTCTTAGGAAGACCACCTGCCACCCTCATGACTAAATGTCTCACCCAGTGGACAGGCCTTCTGGGACTT